TGTTCCCCATTAATTTATGCAGGAAAGAAACCCGGATGTCACAATCAAAAGGATTAGCATTGTTTAACAGAAAACTTTTGCATGATTGTATTTTATGTTAATTGAATGAGCAACACGGCCACAATAGAGGCATTTGATAACGATATTGTCTATGGCAATGTTCCCGATTTCTTATTATTCGGAATATTCTGATCAAAACAGTCTCGAGTAATTGAGCGATATCTTAATTTTCTGCTTTTAAGAAAGTAGAACAAAGTATGTGTTTCTGTGTCTTTCTGAGGAAGTGTGACCGCTGTCTGATGGATTTACATACAGATTCGCAACATACAGATTCGCTTTGGTGAATCTCTGACGCTTAAGCTGCTGCAGCCGCTATAGCTCCTGTCCTTATACTGACTGTCTCTGCTGAGTCTGTCACTGCTAATTATCCGACAGGGCTTTGTGGTCAAGATGGAAACAAGACAAGGTTTCAAATTAGACTAATTTTAAAGAATATGTGTCAGAATAACGAGGGAAATACCATCTGTCCCTATTAGACTAGACAACTTATCGTTACAGACGTGTCCACGGTGTCTGTGCTGAAACAATGTGATTTTTCTTTCTTTTCTTTGCTAATGTTTGTGTTGGCAGTCTGGTATTGCTCTACATAAGTGCATAATTACAACATAAGTGCATAATGGGTCAAATCAGGGTCAAAAGGAAATTCTTGACCCCTCAAATACACATTGATATCAGAGTAAAAGATCTCATATAAAAAGGCAGAAGTAATACGTTTATTTCTTTATTCATGTGCAAATAAAATATAGGTTTGTTTTACTGCAGATAATGTCAAAATTAGGACAACACAATATATTTTGGGATATTTTCCTTCCCACGATTTTACATATAACAATATGATATGTTGACAATATCTTTGTTACTATAAAAATCTTCAATCACTAAAGTGAGACCTCAGCATTTTGTTAGTGCAGAGTGATCATTTTCCAATGTATTGTGGATTTTCACTGCAACTACACTGTAACAGTCCTCCATAAATCGCATCAACAAGGACCTCCCGTCAGGCTCTTGTTGCGTATCCATCCTTCCTTCTCATGTTTTCTTCCCTCTCAAAACCGACCAGTAACAGAACTCCAAAGTGACCTTTTCCTCACGATAAACACTTATGACTGGTTGCAGGATTATAGAGAGCAGTCCTCTTTAAATGTGCCTGTGCTGCATCTGAGATACCAGCGTCATAAAGCACTGGATGCTAGTGACTTATGCTTTTATGGACAAATCCGATTGAGTTCCTCCTATTTCAGCATTTTCTGTCTGTATTAGAGGTCTGTTTAACTGTGTAATGCTGGAGTATGAGATTAGTGATGGCTTGGTGATGTAGTAAAATGAGTCACAACTGCTGTTTATGTGGAATTTATGCTATGTAGCGCAAAGGGTCAAAAGTAAATATATGTGTAATATTAAGTAAATGGAATATGTTTAATTGTTAGATTCTCTGTTAATGTTATGGTCTTGGAAAACAGCACCTTGCATGTTGTGATGGGGGTGAGCCAACTGAACCCCCCAGATGTGATCTAACACCGGACTGGCCACAGTGAGTGTGTTCACAATCACCAAATAATCCACTTACTCCAATTTGATGTGATTGATATAGATGCATGTAAACCAGTGCGCCAATTAAGATGTGTAAAACCAGTTAATTCCAAGAAGCTGGTGCTGCCGATTCTAATGCGGTTGAGCTTGCATGCATGCGCCAATCAGATTGGAAAGAGACATCAGGCAGTGATGCATTCAGGCGCACAGGGAAAAGTCAGGCTTGTGTTACACTTATATGAACTTGGACGGGTATAGGGTTCTCGCTCATTTTGTTTGGGATTCGAGTTTAGTTCCTGTTTAAGTTAACAGAAATCATAGAGTGCCCCAGTTATTCAATGATTTAAGCAGCTTGCCCAAATGCCCAAAGTAAACATAATGTGTTATTACATTTGCCGAGTGTTTGCTTATAAAGTATGTATGATAGCTATTTTGTTCACACTTACAATTACAAAGTTTGAGCAAAAAGGGAAAGTGATGAGACGTAGTTGAAATCTTCCAAAGGTCTGAAGCTTTTAGCAGCTTCTCTGCGGGACGCACAGAGATGGGACTGAAACCCGTCAGATCTGTTTGAAACACCGAAATGAAGGCGGTTTGTATCGGTACTCGACTTCTTGTGCTTTGTAAATGCACTCAATGAAGCAGTCTCAGTAGTTTCCCACATACTGTATGTCCTGACAAAAGAACATTAAATGCACTTGAAATGGTCTTTTTCAAGTCAAATTATTCTTCAGTGCTGCGCAGCTTCCATAGGTTTCCCCTTGTGGTGTTAAAGTGTGAGAAGTAGAGTAGACGTGCAATAATAAATACTGTACTTTTAATAAATGATAGATGGAACAATATCTTTAAGGCTCATGATAAAGTCTATTTCTAAACACACTGCAATAAGCTTAAAGCCTCTTCTCACACAACCTCACGTCACATCTCATTTTGTCTGTCGTACATGAATCCTACATGGTGTTAAAGTGCTGTTTAGAGAAATGTTGTTGTGTCAAATGCTGGTGTGCGCCGTGTGCTGAGTTATTGAGATTCTGATTACTGAGATTTTTGAGAGCTGTGAGATTCTTTTATACAAATTTATACAACGCAGGTACAATGTTTTGATGATGTAACATAAAATATCTTATTCTCAGGCAATGACTTGGATCCAAAAGCTTAAGTTGTGATGAATCATACATTAAGAGCTAAGAATGAGACATGTATTAAATTCTTACACTCATCCTGATTACAGACAAAAATATGAAAGCGGAAAGAAAAAGAGACTTCTACTTTTCACATCCAAGTTTAGCACCTCCCCCTCTTCCTCACATTTTTTGCAACTCGTGGTGAAACACTGCTGTTTCGGAGCCACCATCCAGAGCTAATGCATTTCTCTTAAATATTTCAATAAGTTCCTCCTGTGTTCTGCCAGGTTGAGTACAAGCTTTCCTCGGCTGGTGCTTAGAGGCCCACTGTCACAGAATTAATCTATGGAGAGGTTTGATTTCTCACAGTGCAGCAAGAGACAAGTAGTATTGACTGGCGTTAAAAAAAAGAAAACAAGAACAGGATGGCAGGATGTGGGCGGAAGAAAAGAGAGGAATATAGATCACGGGAAAGATATTCAGTATTCATCAAATATGCACTGTGTCCTCATTCTCTGTGCAACGTGTCCTTCACGCACAGTCGAAGATGATGCAACACGCCAGAAACTTGTACAATCAGATGGTTTTGTGCTGCTGAATCTGGAGCCCAGACTCCATCATTGGACCCTGACATCAATGAGAACACACATCAAACAAACTAGGAAATTAGAATCATGGTCTTGAATCGCTGTCAGACCCAAGAAGTAGTGTCCAAGCAGAATCTATTTATTAACACGGAGCTACAGCAAATGTATTCAGACCAGTTCAATAATACATTTTAATCAAAATATTTTACAAGTTTAAAACCTTTTTTAATGACTGAGAATCTGCAATGTGTGGCCATGTCGGAGTATGTCTGTATTCATATGTTTTGTTAATATCCTGTTGTGACAGTGATACTATTTTCTTGAGTTATCATAGAAAATTAACTTTAAAGCTTTCAAAAGCCTAATTTTGAAACCGCAAACTATCTCTTAAAATCTATTTAACTCAAAACTGTTTTTACATACATAACAACAGATTCGATTCTTCAGTGAAAAGGAGAGTAGCAGCCCCCCAGTATACACCATGCTGCCTGATTTGTTCACAAAATATCACTTTCTGTTGGGACAAACCAAATGTCAAGTTCTCCAGCTTTAATATTAAATTTATTTGACATACTGTTACAATATTTACATATTATACATTTCAGCAAGTGTTTTTAGCACAGATTTACTGTTTTAAAGATGTGTTTAGATATACAAAATACAAAATATCTCAGTTGAAATTGAAAAATTGTTATATCACTATATGGTGGTAACGGAATACATGTATAGAGAAAACATGGTCATATTTAACATATAATCACATCCAGGCTTCAAATGGCATGATGTTATATCTAAACTTTTTAATGTGGATGTGTATTATCTTTACGGAGAAAATATGTCACTGCATTGATAAACTTTAATATCGTACAAAAGAACAAAAAGGTGATCAGTCTCTGATTAGACCATAATAAACAATCTGTTTCACTTAGTTTTAATAGTTAGTATTTAAACATAGTTTTAAGATTATGCAACCTTTTCAAAAGTTTCCTGTTCCCTAGACTGCTCTCCCCTGTACCCGCCTCCTCCCTCCTAAAGTATTCCTTCCACCGCTCCTTCATGGATGCCACCTAACCGTAGTTGGGGAGTTTGTATGCTCAGATCATCCTTGGAGCTATGTTTCCCCCGGTAATGCCCCTGGTAGGGTCCTATGTTATGAGCCAGGCTCCAGGGTGCGAGTGGAGTTCATGTGCGAGTGTCTGCTGACCCCTTGCCTTTGCCCTAGGCCCGGTCAGGACACTGTGGGCCTGCCCTCCTGTGGGCTCACCACCCGCAGAGGGATTCATGGGGGTAGGGTACGTAGAGGACTGGGTGGTGGTTTAAGGAGGGGACTTCGACCACCCAGTCCATGCACACAGAATTATAGACTTAATGAAGTATGTATTCTCTATTCTCTAAAAGTTTCAATGCCCTAGTATGTATTGCAAGAGAAATGTGGTGTTGAGCAAACTGCTTCTCCTCACTCCTTATGACAGCTAGTGTAGCTGCGCTGTGTTTTCGTTGTTCCCTGTGGGTGGCCCAGTGTCAATAAAGCTTGTATAATGACACATGTAGGCACATAAAGACAAAGTGCTCTCAACAATAAAGAGACAAACAGACACGTGCTGAACGTGCTTCAGGGTCAGTCAATGCACTCTTCCAAAAGGAGGATATATTATAATCTAGGTATTGACAACAATCTTTATACTTTCATGTGTTCCAGTTGCAGAACCAGTAACCGAAAAAGCCTCATCTTGAGTACGTCCCCGACTCTGCCACGGCCGCACTCTCCACTGCCAGGACACATCGGTCTGTATGACTCCATGCATCAAATATTGCTTTGGTTGTCTTGTTATGAACTATATAACTTTTCACGTATTCATGTATTTATGTATTCATTAAAGTTTCATATTATTGTACTTCCATTTGAGCTAGATGCCATAGTTTTTATTTGTGAAATAGGAGCATTTAATAATTAAATAAGTAATTGAATAGAAATAAGACCAATCAGGTAAAGTTTCACATGTAACTCTATCAAGGTAATCCAATTAAATCAGAATAATTCACATGAATATACAGTAAACATCTTTTTAAATTTTAGTACTTATTAGAATGCCCAATCTCACACAATGATGATATATGGTAAATGTTTTACTGGCGGGAATGCAGAGTTTTGCTAAACTTCCGAACAACATTTTGTATTGCATTATAAATGTTTCCTTTGTTTGTCTGTGTTTCTCAGGAAGCAGTCCCCTGGACAGCCCGCGAAACTTCTCACCCAGTGGGCCGGCTCACTTCTGCTTTGCCTCCTCCAGAAGGTTTGGCGCTCAAACAACAAACAGCTATAGCATCACAAGAGCAATGTGCCATAGAGAAACTGGAATAATTTATACACAAAAAATATAACTCCGCAGGAGGCCCTCCTACTCCAGTAACTAAAGAAAGAAAAACATGATTTTTATATCTTCTGGTTCTACGTTTTAAACACCAAGACATCACCTCATTATTTAAACATATGAAAATAACAAACCTGATTAAACAGCCTCACACTGACAACAGCTTCCAATATTGAGATAACCCCACTGTGGGACCTCTTAATGCAGATTTAGACGGAGGACCAAGGTTTCACAGGTTTTAATTTTGTGTTTCCACGTTCTGCTTCCAGAGCTGATGGTCGTCGATGGTCCCTGGCCTCGCTGCCCTCCTCAGGATATGGCACCAACACGCCCAGCTCCACGGTGAGATATCACAACACTTCACTTAACAATCCCCCAAGTACAAATGGAGAAATACCAAACAACATTTATTAACCACTGCAAGAACCCCTGAATCCAGGACACTTTTTATACAATGACCTGGCTTCCCATAAATTTTTCCCTCAATTTTGTTTTCACCTCTTTTTCCTTTATCACTTTACCATTTATTTTAGTAATCCTGTATTTCTTTGTGGTTTTAGGCTCCACCATTTAGACTGAATCTACTGTTTATATTCGTGTGAAAATCATCATCCATTTTCTTTGCTTTTTCCTTGTCTTGATACTTTTTATGATTTAGCATTTACAACACCATCTATAGTGACCTAAACAGACATAGACATGGCATGTTCCAGAATATGATTTTTTTTTTTTTCAATAGTTACAGAAAATTGACGGAAAAATTTACTTAAAAGTTTTTCGTTTTATAGCAAGTATTCTTAAAACTTCTCACATTCTTCCTACAATTGCTCTTGGGCTTTTGCTTTTTGATTAGTTATATCATCAGACGAAAACAACATGAAAGCCGGAGACTCTAGTGTGCGTTGGGATGTGCAGTGTTCAGAAAAAAAATGCAAGCAGATGAGAAGTTTTTGCTCCATAATATTTAATGATGTTCTCGCAGACTTGTGTCGTCTCGTGGGAAGTGGGTAATTGATTCTCTGGACTGGACTGGGTGAATTCACAGCATCATTACAGTGCTGTCTGTAGAAGCTCAGATTGAGTTTGTAATAGATTTTTATTACACAAACAGCAAACCTAATAGATCGGTTCATTAAGCTTCGCATTGATCCATTCTCCACCTTTGAAAATAACTTGTTTGACTTGCTGAGTGGAGGCGGACAAGTCCCCTCCAAGTATTAACCAGCGCTCCACTCATTTCAGGGAGGTTTTATTGAATAATGAAATGTTGTTCCTATCAATTACTAAACAATGTCTTATACCTGCTTCAGTGTGTTTATGTGAACAGCAGACAGCCGAGACGGTGAATGGGATCAGGGCTTCTGTCAGATTTCAATAGATCTCCTACACTGTGTTTATGTTATAGAATTTCTATTATATTGTTTCTCAAAAAGCAAAGGGTAAGGAGAGCTGCGTGGTACAAGTGTGTAAAATTATTAAAAAGACCAGGTGCTCAATTGGAAGAGGGGTTTAACTTGGTAACCAAAAATTTAGTTTTGACTTTCCAAGTAAAAGGCAAATGGTGAGGAACTAAAAATCCAAGGCACTCGTGGTCAGTAGTTTAGAAAAGTTTAAAAAGCCTTTAAATTCTCATGCGTGCGTATTTTCTCATATGTGCGTATTTTAATCCACAGCCATGAGAAAATAAAGGCTTTTTAAACTTTTCTAAACTACTGACCACGAGTGCCTTGGATTGTTTGATTTTCTAAGTTCTTCACCATTTGCTTTTTATCTGGAGAGTCAAAACTCAATTTTTGGTTCTATTATATTGTATTGGAGGACTGGTGCCAATACAAGAAGCCATTTTTAAATATATTTTGACAGTTACCATAGTTCCTAATAAATATTTCACAGCTGCCCTCCACTACAGTTTTAAACTAAAGGTTCTTTGCTATGTTGTGGTGTCACATAAACGTAACCTATAATTCCTTCTATTCTCACATTTATTTCTCTTTGTCCTGCTCCGCTGTGTCTGATCCCTTCGTTTTCAGTCGTCGAGCTCGTCTCAGGAGCGTCTGCACCAGTTGCCCTTCCAGCCCACGATGGACGAGCTGCACTTCCTGTCCAAGCACTTCGGAAGCACGGAGAGCATCACCGACGACGACGGCCGGCGCTCCCCTCATGTGCGGCCGCGGTCTCGAAGCCTCAGGTGAAATCACACAAACTACTCCACACACAGTTCAAGGTAAAACCAAGTTACAAACGAGCACATTCATTCTCGTGAAAAAATGTACATACTGTATTTTAATTAGGGCTGTAATTATTTAATCAATTATTTGGCCAATTACCCTTTTCAATTAAAGATTTTAGATCCTGCACATTTGATTAAAACAAAGCTAAAGTTTCCTGGAGAACATCATCATGGAGACTTGTTACACATTGTATTGTTCTGTTAAAAATATTTGAGTCATTAAAGAATTATCTGACTCATAAAACTTCTCCTCAGGATGTTTTAATCTATATAAGGTTAAAAAAATGGCCTCATTTCAATAACAAAGACACAAATCCATTGTAAATATATTCTAACATGCTCTAAATCTCTTGGTCAGATGTCACATGAAATGACAAACCAACCTCAAAATGTATTTATTATCCAATGCAAGTTTGGATGATTTTGCTTCTTTTCATACACTTTGAAAAATAATCAAAACCCTGTTGTAACATAATGTTTTACTTAAATTATTTTCTGATAGACCGTATTGCCCGCTTCACCACGACAGAAGCTGCATATTTCTAAGATTCAATCATTTTTTGTCATTGTCACAAGAAACCACAAAATTACATTCAGAGCAAGTGGTGAACCATGACACACTGTACAATCCATATGAGGATGTCACCAGGCGCTATATATATATATAGAATACTTACTTACTAATAAATATACAACAGTTTTTTTATTCTTCCTATTTTACCCACCCTTAAAAAAAATAATGGGGATAATGATAATCCATTGCTAAGGACAATATCCATGATTCCTTCATGATGTTATTGTCTTATGGATTCTTTGTGTACACTTGTGTGGTCGTGTCCTCCCAGCGTCTCTGTGTAAAGCCTCTGGATGCTGTGTACAACATGACAGTACTTATCAGTATGCAGTTTTCATATGAAGCCTCTTTGCAGTCAGTGGCCTAGATAACATTCCCTCCTGTGCGTTTCCAATATAAATGCTCTCTGCCTCGACACGCCGTTTTTACTCTCACTGTCACCTTTTTTTGGAGTAATAAAGTGTGCTTATTCAGGGGGGGATTAGTCACGTCACTTTTTTACTTTATCTAAGAGTGACAAGTGACGGGTGGAAGAAATGACTCAATTAGATTTTTGTGAAAAATAGTATAACGCTACCTAATATTTTTGAACTGACGGTGGCTCAAATCGTTGCGAGGTCTATAATGGATTGTAGATTCAAATCCATGTCTTGCGGCTATGACGGTCCTTTGGCATAGTCACCTTGTGGAAGTGGACGTGTGAAAGCGTTATTGTGATGAGCGAAAAAGTCTGTGTAGAAAATGAGAGAAATGCCATTCACATTGACTCAAATTCATTATGTGCCTGCATTGAGCAAGTCGGAGGCACATCACCTTGAAAAACATTCACAGTAGGCATTTCTGATAAATCTGCAGAAAAGAAAGGCGGCAAAAACATTCCACGAGGAAAATAGTCTTGACAGGAATCACATTAAGATGCTGTTTTCTTGTAAACTGTCTGCTCTGTGAGTCTTACATTGCGTTTTGGGGGACGCTTTTGACAGGTGCAAAATGTCTCTCAGTTTAATATCGAGAATCGGCCCAGAACCATTATACGGATAGACAGTGCGGATCCTTTCATTAGCATAAACTGCAGACAGGATGACTACGGACACAAGAAGTGATTCCTCGCTTCTCATGAAAAGATCTAAATGTAGTTGTTCCCTTCTTCAATGTCGGCTTCTGTTTCTAACTTTGATTCTCGCAGTGAGTGGTGTATGACTGGCCCTTTCTCTGTGCTTGTCTCTTTAGCCCGGGGCGCTCTCCTTCCTGCTATGACAATGAAATAGTGATGATGAACCATGTCTACAAAGAGCGCTTCCCTAAGGTCAGTCTCACACAAGGTAAACATAAGGACTACGGACCTAAGGACTAAGAAATCAATGTAAACATATAATTTATTAATGGTTTTGTCGGTAAAACGCATACACTCATTCTGTTTCATTATTGTGTGGTGCTGAAACCACTCTGTGCAAACACACGATAGATTTTCGTATTATCCTTGTCAATGTCAGGATATAATAGACTTCCACAAAGCGTGACCACCACCGAGTGTGAAGGAATAATGCAATGTACAGAGTAGTGGCTTCCTTATTATTATAATGCATCATTGGTCTTATTTGTTTGCATTAGTTTGTGGGGATAAGACAAGATCCCCAACGATAGCCCCAAGATAGTGCACACATGGTAGAAAGGTTTTAACGCTGCTGGATTGTGTGGAAAATCAGTGAAACCAAAACAGATTCAATTGAATATGTGTATGTTGAGGCCTCTCGTTTTACTATTCCCCTCCAGAAAATCCTACTGTTGAGCTTGCTTATTGTGGAAATTATTGTTGAACTATACGTACTGTAAATAAAAATCACTTGCCCCATGATGAGAAACCTACAATCTTTTTAAAATGAAATACAATAGTTTCTGATATTAGGTCCTGTGCAACTGGCAGACACCAGACATAACGTCACAGTATTACTTTTTGAATACTCCATTTAATTTTTCAACATTATTTATTTGCAGTAAAATAGATGATATTCCAGCATAATGTACATTTATCTATAGAGTTGAGTATACACTTATTCTTTCAAATAGTTTCCGTTCCCGTGTTTATTCATTTGATTGGGACAGCGCACTTAATACACTCATGGCTAGTTTCTACCCAGAGTCCCTTGGCGTAGGGGATAACAGATACATACAACATTCAGAACAGGAAAGGCAACATACCATGACTACAGTTAAGACAATAAAACAGTTCAGCAGACATAGGATAGACGTAGGACATAAGCTAAGTTTTCTATTAGTAGCTTAGCAGACTTTTAAATTGTGTCCAAATAAGATTAATTACTCTCATTTCAACATTAAGATAAGATAAACTTTATTGATCTCACAATGGAGAAATGTCATATTTGGCATAGATAGAATCACTCTGGGTGTGCAAAAAGACAGAAAAAGTGTGGAAACGTGTTAAAAGGTTAGAATATAGTCTCTTTTGTGCAAGATACATTGTGTAAACAGAAACCCATGGGAAAAGTGATAAAACAATAAAACCCATTATCTATGCATTTACCCCAGGCCACCGCTCAGATGGAGGAGCGACTGGCGGAGTTCATCAACAGCTACTCTCCAGAGAACACCCTTCCTCTGGCCGATGGCATGCTGAGTTTCATCCACCACCAGATCGCAGAGATGTCGCGGGACTGTCTGGCCAAGTCCCAGGACGGTCTCATCACCAGTGTGTACTTCTGTGAGCTGCAGGAAAACCTGGAGAAGCTGCTGAATGATGTGAGTGTGTCCTCTGACCTGTGCGAGGATGATACACCGGTTTAATCATCCACTTCTGTACCCGCAGGCCCACGAGCGCTCCGAGAGTTCAGAGCTCACTTTTGTAACGGAGCTGGTGAAAAAGCTTTTTATCATCATCTCCAGACCAGCGCGACTTCTGGAGTGCCTGGTGAGTTTCAAAACTCTTACTAACTTGTATATATATATTTTTAACTAATAATACATTTTGTTTGTCCCAAAAGATTGAGGATTGTTAAAGAAAATGTAGTGAACAAACCTGTCATGGTTGTCATTTTAGTTCCTCTTTTATTTTGTATTGTCTTTTCTCCTGTGTCTTTTTGAGTTTTACTTCCTGTTCTGTTGAGCGCCTGCCCCGCCCTAATGTGTCACACCTGTGTCTCTCCCTCTTGTTGTCAGTCCAGTGTGTGTTTGTTCCTTGGTTCTTCTTTGTCCTTCAGCTCGTTCTTACAATCAGTTGAGTTTTGTTTTTGTGTTATTGTTTATTAAATTATTACTTTTGTGGTATTGTATTTTGGGTCCGTCTGCCTTTTTGACACGTGATAGAAGGAAGAGAGGACCCAAAATACAATACTCTAAAAAATAATAATACACATAATACAAATTAAAATGGGAACAAAAAATGACAAGCATGACAAAACCAGGTTTTATCTGATCTTATAAAAAATATCTTTGTTATTTTTTGCATGCTTGAAGAACTATTGGACATTTTGGGTTGACAGCTGAGTGAGGGTGGTCCTCTCTTTTCACATAAAATCCATTTCACACTTTTGGTTTAATCCTTAGTTATATGCAAGTATTTTTGGCCATCTTTAGATCACTTCTTCAGGCCTCTGTCTGGTCATCCTCAGACAGAGGCCTAAAGAAGTGATCTAAAGATGGCCAAAAATACTTGCATATAACTAAGGATTGAACCAAAAGTGAAGGAGTTAGATGGATTTTACTTCGTCGTTCCTTTTTTGTGGTTTGAAAGTTATCCACCCCAGCTTTAGAATAGATGTGTTATGCACATAATTACCTCCATACTAATTGGGGGAACTTCTGGCACAAACATGTACCCCCACCCCTTTTGTCTTTTTCTCTATTTCAAACTTCTTACGTTACATAACTTTTTTTCCTTTCAAAACAACAGCATTGGCTCCAATTTTGTTTTGTCAAATGAGGTTCTTTCCAATTGCTTGCCCACCCATCACACTACACCCCCCCCCCCCCCCAGAAATAGACTAAGGGAAGAAAATGGATGAATGGATTTGGTCAGTCTTGTTTTATATCTCTGAAATGGCTGCGTCAGGTTACCACATCACTTTCTATTTTTTTATCCTCCAAGGCTTTGGTGCAGGTTTAATCAACTTAAGGCCCTCCAAACAATATGATCCAGCTCGTGCCTCATCCCCAAATATTACACTTACTGCTTTAATTATGAGCTTATTCTGTTTAACACCTACTGTTGTTTTAGTGCTTGTTGACTTCATGCTTTTATTCTTTTTGGTATAATCTAGTCTTCATTTAATCCTGGCTCCGTACTGTTTTGCAAGAGAAATTTTGTATTTTGTATTCACAAAGATACATTTCATAGGAAATCCAGTGAGGTTTTTGGATTTAGATTTTCTGTTGTTGTTATTATTTGTGTTATGCACTCGGTTTACAGTTTATCCAATCTGCAACACAATATTATTCCCACTTGACCATATAGCGTTATTATGCTTTTTGCTTACAAAGGAAGACAATGCATGTCTCTATAAATAAAGATTGATTGATTGATCAAGTTCATTTCACAATAGTGTTGCCACAACACTAAATTTCAACCTCAATTTAAAATCTCAATATCAGTTTTTATACCTCTATGATTATTTATTAATGCTCTTTTAATAAGTTGTGATGTATTTGAATCAAAACATTTCACTTGTACCGGTTTTGTGTTTTTTGCATAATTGTTATTTTTGATTCAAAATAAGATTACAGTAAAAATGTTCAACCCTTAAGTGCAACCATGAGAATATTAATAAAACTGATTTGGTCTTATATGAAATATGAAACAGGTGAGATGTCACATTTGGAATGGGAAAAATAGTACATCTCTGCAATGACAAGATTGAAGATGCTTCTACGCTTGTATCTTATATTTTATTTTATATTCAAATAAAGAGATAATTTTCCAAATGTATGCGATGTTTTGCATAAATTGTATTGTTTGCAAAGAGCTTCAATAAATGCAGTCTTTGTGATTTGCTCATTGCAACCAAGAAAAATAGTTTGGTTGTGATTAATCGTGCAGCGCTGCACTTTTACACAACAATATTCACAAACTGAGAGGCACAATGGTGGATTTTACAAACTGCTGATTGATGGCATCACATGTGCAACTTCTTCACCCACAGCTCTTCTTTCTGTTTCCACAGCGACCGTCGCAGAGGTCAATAAGGTCTCAGCACGTTCGGTTTACTCAGTTTGCAAGAATGCCACACAATAATACAGTTCTGCATTCAAGTCAGCCTCGCTCTGATTTTCTGTCATAAGATGTTAGCAGCAAGAACATCATCGATGAGCAAAATTATTCTCTCTTTTCCCTTCAAGGTTTGAGAGGAGGAGGAAATTATGTTGGCAACCTCAGGCGCTGCTCTCTAATCAAAATGTTATTCCAGCAACAGGAGTAAGACTCAATCCCACTGGACTTTACAACGACTGTTACATGGCTGAAAGTGCAATGCAATTTTACTTTGTGTTTACCCTGCTTTGTAAAACTTGTGCCATACTGCTTCTGGGGATCAAACACCTTACAGTTTTGGGTTGAGGACGAGATATGGCATTTAAAACATTGTTAATTGCTTAAAACCAAAGCCCATTCCCCGTAATTGAATTGAAGATTGTTGGCGCTGTGTCACTGTGCCTAATTATCTTAGTGATGAAGTGATCATAATCATATTTTTGTGATTACTGTATTATAATTGATTTTCTCCTGTGTGACTCTTTCCAGGAGTTTAATCCAGAGGAGTTCTACCATCTGCTGGAGGCAGCGGAGGACCACGCCAAAGAGGGACAACTGATGAAGGAAGACATCCCCCGATACATAATCAGCCAACTGGGCCTGACGAGAGATCCACTGGAGGGTGAGCCAGGGACACTCTTTATTCATCATGACTCTGTACTGCAGATAGTTGGAATTATGTAAAATCACTAATGTATAAAACATAGCAATACGACCATTGCACAATGTAAATCAGCTAAACATCATTCTGAATTCAGAAACAACATTCAGTCTTGGTTCTAGTTCACATTTTCAGCCAAATCCACCGTCACAATAAAAAAAAAATTGGATTTTTAATTTAATAATGCATTTGAACAGACCTGTGCAAAGTGCTGTCTGGGAGCCACTTACATTTCAGTCCCACAGACCCTTCCTCACTGCTTTTATTGTTAAAATAGCTTTTTTATGCCTTCTTTCCTCACTGTGTGACAGTCACAGGTCGAACTCTCTGGACCAGCTTCTGCTTTGTGCACCGAGCTTCTGCTTGTTCACAGCTGTGAACACGCACCCCCCCCCCCCCCCCCCCCCCCCCTCTTTCCCCCATCCACCATCAGTAATAAAAAGACTCTCACCTGTTTCCAAACAAATGATGAAATATGACACGGCTACAAAATAAGTGCTTGTTAGTTTGTCTAGTGTCCAGATGAATAAAACCCTTAGAGTTCCTGTGAGTTCTACAACTGTTAGACGAGAGCAGTGACAAAAGGGAGTTTGTGAGTCAAGAATGATAATTAACACTTTTTTTGAAACAGCATTTTTGGTAATAGAGCCTTTAGTATGTTTTGCCAAATTCAATTATAACAGTGTGTCTTGATATTTGGCTCCCCTGGACTTAGTGATATTCTAACGTGCCATGCAGGAGAAAATAATTGCCCACTTCTGAATGGGAGCAATAATTAAAAATCTAAATTCTTCTTTATTTGATTGGATTGTACAGCTCTACACACAATTAACCAACTGTGAAAACACATTTGTCTTGTACATGTGCAGCCTACACATAGCCGAGGGTACAACACCCACAAGTGTCCACTTTTCATTTTATTTCTTTTGAGACTTATGCTCATCATTTTTGTGCAGCTCAATTATGTTACAAGCAGTTAATGACTAATAATCATTGCAAATGAATGTCAAGTAATTACCAGTCAGCTATTTGCTTGCAGCATTCAAGCTACTGTCAAATGCAAAAATGGAAGAAGAAATATCTGCCAAATCTGCAGCTAAACTACTGTAAATTGTGGCGGGCGAAGGAAATTAAAAGACAAATGAATTTTGATTGTTCATTCTTCTCTTGTCATTCTTTGGCGTTTCAAAGCCTGAATAGATGTTTTGTTAAACCTTACCAGCGTGATGTTAACAGCGTGGGAGGCTAGTGTTTCGGTACAGATAGTTTTTCTGTTCATCGTGACAGTGTTCTTAAATGTTGGCTTCATTTTTTCCCCACAGAAATTGTAAATCTTGACAGCTATGATAGTGAAGGACCACACACTCCCGAGACGGATGATTCCGAGGTGAACATGCTAGCTTGCATCCACAGTATTTTGAGTTGTAAAATCTATGCAAAAGCCAAGCTGAAATTCATGCTATTGTCATCAGGGGAAGCCACAACCCATCAAGCCCCCATCTGAAGAGGACTTTCAAACCATCAAACTCATCAGCAATGGAGCATATGGGTAAACCTGCAAATCTGTATTATTACTGATCTACAATGTCTGATTTTTGTGTGTGCTTTGGCCCTTGAATGCTGGATTACGTAACTTGTCTTCATGAATAATATAATTTGTTTGTCCCAACACAAAGTGTCTTGTAAAAGCAAAATGTATTGAAGAAATCGGGCTGCAATAATTCGGTTAAAAACACTCATGTTTGGTGTAGCTGTACGAAAGAGCCTTATGAGTCACTAATTTAAATAACTACTTATACTTATACGGTAGATAAAAAATGTACAATCATAATTCCAGTTTTTGTTTTACCACAGATTTAAAATGTAATTGGTGAAATTTTGTTTGTTTTGAGTTTACTTTGGTCTCCTGACAGAATGATTTCAGGTAGGGCTGAAACAACTAATCAATTATTGAAATAGTCGACAACTATTTTAGTAATCGATTAATCGTTTTCTGGTTCACACGGACTCAAACAGAGCAAAAATGACATGAAAATGTAGTATTTTTGATTAAAACCGACTTTGCTTTTATAATTTCATGAATATCTGTCTGTCTCATCCAATCAGATAGCAGAATTAGCACAAAGAGCCTGTTACAAACATTTACTTTAAGTTTACGCCATCAATACGTCCTCGAGTGTTGCCACTTTAGCTTTTTGTGATGAAATTTTTTTTTTTTCTACACAATTCACAGCCAAGCGATTACTCGATTAATCGTAAAAATAATCGATAGATTAATCGATTACAAAATAATCGTTAGTTGCAGCTCTAATTTCAGGTAATAATTTTGTTTGTGTCTACCCACCAGTGCTGTGTACCTTGTCCGCCATCGGGAAACACGGCAGCGTTTTGCAATGAAGAAGATCAACAAACAAAATTTGATCCTGAGGAACCAGATCCAGCAGGCGTTTGTCGAGAGAGACATTTTAACCTTTGCAGAAAATCCCTTTGTTGTTTCCATGTTCTGCTCATTTGAAACACGCAGGCATCTGTGCATGGTCATGGAGTATGTTGAGGGTAAAACATTTAGTTCTGTTAATTTCAAAAGGAAATTAAAATGTTGTATTTGTTTTAACATGTATTCTTTTGTAGGTGGTGATTGTGCTACTCTACTGAAAAACATTGGGGCTCTGCCTGTGGAACTTGCACGGATGTATTTTGCTGAGACCGTGTTGGCGCTTGAATACATCCATAACTACGGCATTGTGCACCGCGATCTCAAACCGGACAAGTAAGTGCTGCGATCATCTGCTGTGGTCTTCAGGGGGGCATGATATACAGTATACATACATAGGCATGCATTATTTCTGCCAAGTTGTTTTGTGTTTCGATTGATAGGAAAGTAAAAAAAAAAATTATGAAATGATATTGTCGCACAATCACTTACATCCATTGTCTTAATTTTAGTGTAACTCAGGGGTGTCCAAACTTTATTGTACGCAAGTACTTGTACAACGGATCACAGGCCTGTGCCCACATCATCTGTAGTAATTTGGTGAAATGTTTTATCTTGAGCTCTCTGCCTTCTTCCCCCCTTCAGTTGAGCAGCGGTCGTGATTGCATCGGCACAAGAGGAAATGAGATATTATTGAACCAAATCTCACTCATTGAACCTCTTCTCCATTGATACCTGTTAGTTGTACATAGAAGAAGCGCGATATGGCTCTCTCTGTTCACTTTTTTCACGTTGGGTAAACAAAACATTGGCTTTTATTGCGTATGACAGAAAACACATGCCATGAGGCCAAAATCTTGAATGCCATGCATGCTGTACGCCCTGTCTTTGCGATCAACCGGTAGATTGAGATTGACGTATTGGGCACCCCTGGTATAGCTGCGGTAAATTGTTTTGTCTAATACTTTGTGTACTTATACTTCTGAACAGTCTGTTAATCACGTCTATGGGTCACATCAAGCTCACTGATTTTGGATTGTCAAAGATGGGTCTAATGAGTCTGACCACCAACCTGTACGAAGGGCACATCGAGAAAGATGCCAGAGAGTTTCTGGACAAACAGGTCTGTTGGTTTCCATAGATACTTTATAGTAATTTAATATGATGGTATATTTTTTGGAGATTATTGAGATTAGTTGTTGTCACGATTCATTAAAATGTTGATTGTTATGAATAAGCTGGATACTTGTCAATACCAATTGCGATACCACAGTGTTGTAGCTGTAATTTTTTAAAGATCCATTCCAAATAAAACAGATTTTTTTAAGAATTCACTGATTTCTTAAAATATTTCATACTTTTGTATGTCTGATAACGATCTCAATACTTTGGCTTTTTGTATCTGTTTATCCCCTACATGAGTTAAAGGTAAAACAATGACACTATTGACAAGCAAATGTCAATAGTCTTATTACATAAACTGAACCTAATCAGTATATGTTTTACTGATCCCATGAAATGCTCGAGCCAACAAAATGTCCAATATCGGTACTGATATGCGATACCAGTATTGTATTGGATTTTTTTAATGCAAACAAAAAGGTATTTTTCTTGTGTCCTGTCTTGTTCTTTAGTACAGTGATTAGTCTTAGCATTACTAGCATTAGCTTCATCCTATCTTTTGACCGCCCTAATGAAGATGCATACATAATAAACCATATGTAACGACTGTTATCCTGTGTCGCTGGAGAACGAGGGGAACGGGTCCTGTACCTTTATGACGCGCTGCTAATGTGGATGAAGAACGCTACTCGTAACTGCGTTTTTAAGTGGCATTTAATCATCAGCTTTGAAGATTTAACACATAACACATTGGCCATACGTGTACGTGTACAAAACTTAACAAAAACAAACGGTCAACAAAGAAATACGGCTACCCAGATCCCTACGACTTCTCACCTGAACGCCGGTGTCTGCCATATTTAAGGTTCCCGGCATATCCCCAGAGCTCACGTGACTCACGCACCTCCCCATGACGTTACCATGGCAACCCCACACATTATGGCTCTCACACACCAGCCCCTTAATTATTGCACAATAATTACCATCACAAAACCCAAAATCAAGAGACATAATGAGTCCATAATGTTTCACTTCAGAAACTTACTGAGTTCATGTCCTTAAAGTCCAACAAAGTACAGCAAAGCAGTCCAGTCACTTGTGCACCAAACCCCCCCCCCAAACCCCAAAACCAAAAAGTAATCCATCAAAAATCGGAAAAAGTCACAAAAAAATGTGTTACAAGAATATGAATCTCCAAAAAACACGTTGGGGCCCAGTTACTGATGCGAATTGTCTCTAGGTAGCTTCGGCCACCTGCAGGAGACACACCTTGGTAATTGGCCGATCCAAGCAACTGGTGCGTGTCTTAATCTTCACCTGGCGGACGAATCCCCTCTTGTCCGGGAAAGTTTGAATCACTCGACCCATCAGCCACGAGTTTCGAGGGGCGGTGTGATCCATAACAAGAACAAGATCTCCTTCAGTGAGGTTTCGTTTGGCTCCTGTCCATTTCTGACGTTCTTGTAGCTGGGGTAGATACTCCTTCACCCATCTTTTCCAAAACAAGTCGGAGATGTACTGGACCTGCTTCCATCTTCTGTGTGCATACATATCTGACTCCTCAAACACTCCTGGTGGCAGCGCTGGCGAAGTCTTCAGTAGCAACAGATGATTGGGTGTCAGAGACTCAAGGTCATTCACATCCATAGAAGCTTTAGTGATAGGACGGCCATTGAGAATTGCTTCTGCCTCACAGAGCACAGTCTGCAGACCTTCCTCATCAAGATTCTGTACTTTCAAGGTGGAATTGAGCACTTTTCGCACTGATCTAATGAGCCGCTCCCAGGCTCCACCATGATGAGAGCCAGATGGAGGATTAAAGCTCCATTTTATTCCCTTCTGCAGCATGACCTTATTTATCTGACTCAGATTCCATTTCTCAATAGCATTCTTCAGCTCCCGCTCTGCTCCTACGAAGTTAGTCCCATTGTCTGAGCGAAGTTCTCTAACTTGACCTCGTCGAGCCATGAAGCGCCTGAGAGCATTGATGAAAGAGTCTGTATCCAACGATTGTGCCACTTCAATGTGGATGGCTCTGATTCCTAGGCAGGTAAAAATGACTCCATACCTCTTTACTACACTTCGTCTGCTCTTAACCTCAAACGGCCCAAAATAATCAACGCCCACACGAGTGAACGGAGGCTCATCTGGAATGATCCTCTCATGGGGTAAGTCTGCCATCTGCTGGGAAACTGGCCGTGCATGCAATCGCCGACAAACTACGCATCTTGAGAGCACCTTTCTTATTGCAGTAGTCGCTCCAGTTATCCAATATCTCTCTCTCAACTTTGAGAGCATGTGGTTCCGACCACCATGTCCAACCTCCTGGTGTATTTGCCTCAAGAGCAGTTCGGACACATGGAGATCTTTTGACAATATAACTGGATGTTTCAACTCTGCCGGCATTTCAAGTCTGCCTAGCCGCCCACCAACCCTCAGGATACCTTCTACCAATTGTGGGTTGAGTTTACGGAGATGGCTGGATGAACTTACTGGCTGGCCTTTCTCCAAACTGAGTAGCTCTTCTTTAAAAGCAATGCGCTGGCAATACTTTACGATAGAAAGCTCTGCCCTCTCCAAGTCTTCTGCAGTGAGACTGCGGGCCACAGTATTCTGCTTGAATCTTTTCATGTCTTTCTCCACATTAGACTCCTGCTCTTGTGTGAGTACAGATTGGGCAATGGCCCTACGTAACTGCCGCCTCTTCTCCACACAAGACAGCAACCAGCCCTTAATTTTCATGAGCCAAGCGACAGAGGTCTTTAATCTGGTCCAAGAAGAGAAATACTGGATCAAACGATAAAAAGGTTCTTCCACAGTGCACACAGCATTAATAAAAAATTTCTTCTTCACCTCTGGATCTTCGGGTGGAAGTTGACAAAGGCCTAGTGGACTGGCAGGCCATTCACTCATGGGCAGTAACAAAAATTCAGGGCCCGACAGCCATGTAGGATGCTTGATGAATGCTTCCACTTTCACCCCTCTGGAAGCAATGTCTGCCGGGTTGCTGTCCGTGTTCACGTATCTCCATTGATTAGCACCAGACACTTTAAGTATTTGAGAGACCCGGTTCGCCACGAACACCTTGTACCGAGAAGTCTCATTCCGAATGTACTTAATGACTGATTCACTGTCCGTCCAAAACACTGAGTCCAACAGCTCCATCTTTAGTTCTTTTCTCCAAAGCACATCCATTCTACTCGCCATAGTTGCTGCTATGAGCTCCATACGTGGAATGGAAACAAGCTTCAGAGGGGCCACACGAGCCTTTCCCATTAGAAATGCGGAGTAGCGTTCTGAATTGCAGTTTGACACAAGATAAGTTACTGTTCCATATCCATTCTCACTTGCGTCGCAGAAATGGTGCAACTGGGCAGTACAGACTGTTTGAAAATGTGGGGGCTTCAAGCACCTTCTCACTTTGTAACTGTCCAGAAGCTGGAGCTGATGGATGAGTTTCCACCAACGCTTTGCAATCGAATCTGGAACTGTGTCATCCCAGCCCACTTCCTTTCTGCAGAGATCTCTCAAGATAATCTTGGCTGTCAAGATCACAGGGCTCAGCATCCCAAGAGGGTCGTATATTGAGGCAACTGTTGAAAGCATACCTCTTCTGGTGAGTGGTTGCTCCTTCACTTTAACTCTAAATTGAAATACGTCAGAGTTAATCGACCATTCCACTCCCAGGACTCTTTCCACAGGCTCGGCATCAAGCTCCATTGTTTCCTTGCCCTTGGCCCTATGCTCTTCAGGGATAACTTTCAGCACTTCTGGTCGGTTACTCATCCACTTAGTAAGTGAAAACCCTCCTTTTGAGCATAGACTGCTTAGCTCATGGTACAGTGATAACGCCTCCTTCTCTGTGGCCATCGACACCAGGCAATCATCTACATAAAAACTGTCATGTAGCCTCTGTACAGCTTCCTTACTATAGCGATGCCCAAAGTCTTCCGCACACCTTCTCAGGGCATAGTTTGCGCAGCTGGGCGATGATATGGCCCCAAACAAATGCACCCTCATGCGATACTCAGCAGGGGATAGTGTAAAGTCCCCACCAGGCCACCAGAGAAACCGGAGAAAGTTTGTGTCTTCAGGGGCAACATGTACCTGATAAAACATGGCCTCGATATCTGCCGTCAGGACCACCGGCTCCCTCCTGAATCGCGTCACTACTCCGATAAGAGAGCTAGTGAGGTCAGGGCCTTGTAAGAGTTCAGTGTTTAAAGATGCACCCTTGTAATTTGCTCCACAATCAAACACCACTCTTATTTTCTTCTTGGTGGGGTGATAGACACCATGGTGCGGGATGTACCACACTTTTCCTTTCTCGCAATGAATCTGTTCTGCCGGTACTTTCTCGGCATACTGCTTTTCCAGTAACGCCTCCATAAACGCATTGTACTCTGTGTAAAAGTTATGATCCTTTTGCATCCTCCCTTTTAGATTGTTTAAGCGTTGTTCGACCACCTTGCGGTTATTTGGCATACTGATGTTTCTTTGCCTCAGGGGTAAGCTTATCTGATAGTGGCCATCCACTTGCTTTACAGAAGTTGTCACAGACTCCAGAAACTTGTAATCCTCTCGAGACATGGCTGGGAGCTCTTCCTCTGCACTCTCTGGGAAATCATTTTTGTACTGTTGCTGCCATAACTCCTCTAAGTCCACAACAGAGACTCTGTTCACCATTACTTTTGGCCGACCCGACTCAATGGCCTCTTTGCTACCCTCTCCTAGCGGTCCATTTACCGTCCATCCCAGCAATGTCCTGGTAGCAAACGGTCCACCATTTATGCTACATATCACCTCTAATGGTTCCAGGGCCTTCGGTACATTGGTCCCAATAAGAAGCTCTATTCCTGCGTCAATACTGGGTAAATGGACGTGCTTCAAGTGTGGCCATTTCTTGATATCCTGTTGTGTAGGGATGTTTTCCTTGTAAACTGGCATGGACTCTTGAGTGTATGCTCTTGGCAGCTCCAAAAATATGTCTCCATGTAGCGCAGCAACCTCCAATCCAGACACAATGTTGCTACTCACAACCTTCTCCTGCCCCATAGTCCGAAGAAGAACGTTTCCTTTCCTTCCCGTCAGATTCAACTTGTTCTCAATGATTCTGTGCAAAATACAGCTGTGCTCCCCTGATCCAGAAAAGCGTATGTGGTCACAACTTTATTTCCCTTTTGTGACTTCACCATTACTGGGACGATTGGGAGTTTACAGTCTTGGTCGCCAGCCCCTGTAAGGCCACTTGAAACTAGAGTTTTGCCCACATGAAGCCCTTTGCTCCCCTCAGCTGGGTCTGCACCACGCTCTTTGTGGAGAATAGTTGGATGCTTTAGGTTACACTTGGTGCAGGAAATCCTTTGGCGACAGTATTTGCTTATATGTCCTTTACATAAGCAGCTGTAGCAAATGCCATTTTCCCTGAGGAATCCTATCTTCATTTCATGCACCATCCTTCCCAATTGCGTGCACGTGTCCAGTGAATGTCCTGCTCCACAATAGAGACAACATATTCTTTCTGGTGCTTTAGCTTCTTTCTCTTTATGCACAGACTGAGATCTATGCTCCATGGGACATAGTGTGGTGGCAAAGCTGGCACCCTTTTGACGGGATTGAAACTTTGTATTGTTTGTTCCCCTATTCATTGGTGGGGGTTCATGTATACAGCCAAAGACGGGATCTGTCAGTATTTTTACTTGTTTTTCTGTAAAGTCTACTATATCACTGAACTTAGCCCTTCTTTGTAATCGTTCTTGAAGGTCACAGACCTGACCTTTCCACTTGTCTTTGAGTTTGTATGGGAGCTTGCTTATAATGTTCAACATATTTGAAGGCATGTCCAAATCATGCAAATATTGAACTTCCTCCATCATATTGCAGCAGGATCGGAGCAATAAACTGTAATCCTGCAACGCTGTCACATCATCTGGCTTGATATTGGGCCATGACAGGACCCTGTTCATATAAGCTGCGGCAACCTTTTGCTCGTTTCCAAAATGCTCCTTTAATAAAACCTTTGCTTTTGCATATCCATAGTCAGGGTTCAGATGTTGACAGCTTCTTACTAGTTCTCTGGCATGTCCATGTGTGTGTTGTTCCATAAAGTATAAACGGTCAGAGTTGTTACTTGTGTTTCTTTCCACTCCGTTCTCAAACGCTTTAATGAAAGTGTGATACTTTAATGGATCACCATCAAATGTTGGTATTTCTCGCTTTGGTAAGGATGAAAGACTTTGTTGCTGTATTAACAGAGATGTTATTTCACTTTGCCTTTTCATGATCCCCAGAACCTCATCTTTATTATTGATTTCATGGCTGTTTGTGATGATGGTGGGATTGATTGATTGTTGCAACGCATTATGATTTGAGGACTGTGAGATTCCCATTGCATCTCTCACGACATACTGTTCAGTCTTTCTTGGTGCTCTTTGGTTTTGTGTGGATGGAATGAACTCTCTTGCGTTGATATTAAATGATTTATTCTTCTCTTTTTCAAGGTATAAATTCATTCCATTTGAAATCTTTGAACTTGTGCTTCTTGATTTCAATATATTTAGTTTGGCCACTTTTTCTGCAATCTCAGTTCCAAGCTGCAACTTCTCCTTCCTTTTACGCAGTTGTTCCTCCTCGTCCTCTAATGCGTGCCTTTCCTCCAATAAGTGTTGCCGTGTAGTCAGCGCTGCCAACTCTGCTTCCGCGTTCAAACATACAGAGGAGGTGACGGAGCGCCGTGAGCGCGCAAAAGTGGTCGAGCGCTGAGAGCGCGCGCCTCCGCGGGAGCCTGCATTTGAAGCGCTGTCTGCAGGCTTTACGTCAAATTCCTGAAGATCACAGTTTGGAAATTGTTCCCTCTCGTCTCCCAATAATACATTTTCAGGAACACCATCTGGCTCACCTTGTTCAATATCATTGATCCATTTTTCAGTGTAATCTTTAAATGATTCGCTGTATTGCTTAATGCCTGAGAACCATTCCTTTTGTTTCACTGTTTCATCCCTTGGGAGTAATGGTAATACAGCGTTGTGGGCAGCAGATGCATTATCACACATTTTATTGAGTGCTCCGAGAGACTCCTTTATTTGAGACACGTTTTGTTTCCGTTTCATGAGTTCCTTCATTTCTGGTATCATACCTTTCATTTTATTGACAAACACTTTACGTTCGCGTTGAAGCTTTTCAACTTTATTTAACAAAGCCTTTTCCGTGAGTCTGCGTTCCCTCTTTTCACACTCGGTTTCAGGGCAAGAAGGCGCACCATTTGTTTTGCTCATTATTCCTTTTGATTTAAATGCCTCCTCAGTGTAAACATACACAGCATTTCCATTCAACACAGCACTTTTATTGAAATTCCATCACAACATCGCATCCTTCTTAAAATTGCATTGCATACATTACATAAGCTTCAATACTGCGGAGCAACTTTACGCAGGGACATCCCATTCCATTAATTCATCTTTATGTTCCTTTATTCCCACACACATTGAATTAGGGATTCCGAATCCACGTCCAATTGCCACGGGTGGCTTACCTTGCCTCCTGTGTCCTGTGCAGTGATTGATGGCTCATTGGTAACGCCCGCTGCGCTGCACTTACTTGGCGTCTTCCTGATTCCGCGTGCAGTATTGCGATTGATGGATTTCAAACATGCCTTTCTTTGTTGACTAATGTAACGACTGTTATCCTGTGTCGCTGGAGAACGAGGGGAACGAGTCCTGTACCTTTATGACGCGCTGCTAATGTGGATGAAGAACGCTACTCGTAACTGCGTTTTTAAGTGGCATTTAATCATCAGCTTTGAAGATTTAACACATAACACATTGGCCATACGTGTACGTGTACAAAACTTAACAAAAACAAACGGTCAACAAAGAAATACGGCTACCCAGATCCCTACGACTTCTCACCTGAACGCCGGTGTCTGCCATATTTAAGGTTCCCGGCATATCCCCAGAGCTCACGTGACTCACGCACCTCCCCTGACGTTACCATAGCAACCCAACACATTATGGCTCTCACACCATAAATAGCTTTGATTAATTGTCGATCTTGAAAAAGGCAGTTTTTAATCATCATAGTAAGACTGTTCAACTAAACAATAGACGGTTTATAAAATACAGTTGTGCTCTGTTATGTCAGGTGTGTGGCACTCCAGAGTACATTGCCCCGGAGGTGATCCTTAGACAGGGTTATGGGAAGCCTGTCGACTGGTGGGCCATGGGCATTATCCTTTATGAGTTCTTGGTGGGTTGCGTTCCCTTTTTCGGTGACACCCCGGAGGAGCTGTTTGGGCAGGTGATCACAGGTGAGATGTTTTATCACGCTCTGTCTGCAGGGTCTGGTGTCATTCTGACTTGTCTCCCTGTTGCAGATGATATTGTTTGGCCCAATGGAGATGATGCGCTGCCTGCAGATGCTCAGTCTCTCATCTCTGCCCTTTTACAAACTAATCCACTCGTGCGACTAGGGACAGGTGTGCTAACTGATCAGTAATGGAAACACGTGCGTCTTCCACCAGTGTTAATTCATGCCATGGACTGTTGTAGGTGGCGCCATTGAAGTGAAGGAGGATTCGTTCTTCACTGGTTTGGATTGGAACAGTTTACTGAGACAGAAAGCTGAATTTATCCCTCATCTTGAATCAGAGGAGGACACCAGCTACTTCGACAGTATGTGCCATTCCATATTGATCTCACTATTCCTTTTAAGGTTAAGATTAAGAAATTCTTTATTCTTCCCACAGTGGGGTAATTTCAGTGTTGCAGAAGTTACAGAACAGTAGGAATCAGAAGCACACAGCACAAGATAAATGAACAATAACTCTATACTAAATCAAATGAAATAAAACATCTTTAACTCCAGCATGAAGAAGAAACAAGTATATTATATCTATCTTTAGCATAATGAGTACATAAAAACTCTTTGGCCTAACCCTAACCCTAACCCTAAAGACTTTGGCATAGTAAAGAAGAATAAAATCTCTACCTAGAATTTAATGCCAAAGGTTTTAGTGCAAGTAATTTATAGTTGTTAGGTGCATGAAGGTATGTGTTCAACAGTGGACACATGTGGTTCTATACTTCACATTCTGACAGTATTAAAGTTATGTTTTGCTATTTTTCATGTAATAGGAGGAATACTGCTACATTTTCTGAGAGCTGTTCTCTCTTCAGCACGCTCCGACCGCTATCATCATATCAACACATATGATGAGGATGACACCAACGACGATGAGCCTGTGGAGATCAGACAGTTCTCGTCCTGCAGTCCGCGATTCAGCAAGGTCTGACCCTGCTCTTCTCTCCCTCTGTTCTCGGCTCCCTTAATCTCTGCTTTTGGCATTTACACAGAGGCACACTGTAGTCCCCCTAAAAGTTCTTTGATGAGACTCTATTGGGGATGAAACAGATGTAAATGGGTCAGATTTCCACACCTGGTTTGTCGGCCAGGTTGCACGCTTGGAGTTTGTTCCATTTGTTATGTTCCATTTGTTCAAACATATTTGACGGTCCAATTCCAAGTGTAGTTCTGTGGCCTTTTACATTTTTGGAAGATAATGTTTGTTTATTATTACATTGTTATCATCACATTCACTTATTGCATGTCCCCCCTCCAATTACTGAGCTGACATTTATTCAAACAATTTAGCATTGAATTGTTTTGTGTTTGTTAACGCATACTGACACAGCACAGTCCAAGTGGCTTATGAGCTTGTTCGTCTTGTTGATATGGAGTTCATCTTCTTACGATTGGCCAACAAAGACTTTCTTTGAGATCTAACTGCAATAGGTGTTATTACTGATACATTATTATCTATGTCCTCCCCCACACATCTGTTTTACAGCTTTATCAGTGTTAATGGCCATACTTCTGTTCGTTCACTACTTAATAATGGCTTTTAAAAATGCTTTGCTTGGGAACTGGTGGTTTGCTGTGCACCATTGAACTACTTTCTTTGCTAATTAATTGCTGAATTGATGAATTAATGTATAGTTTGTTACACAATTAAATGGTTTCATAAGGGTTCAGCTTTTAACCAAAAAAGACAGTTATGCACTTCCTTTCTGCAAATATTTTGAGCTAATTTGGCATAAATGCAACAAATAATCCACTACAGCAGACTAATTTGTATGCTATTACGCCTCAGGTTTACAGCAGTATGGAGCATCTCGCTCAGTTGGAGCAAAAAGCCAGCAGCTCTGTCTCCCGTCGAGAGCACAGGAGCCCACGCGATGTGACGAAGAGAGAGAGTCTGGGCAGCTTCAGCATGAGGGACAAAGGCTGGAGGACCGGATCACCTGAGATGTTAGTGAAATGTTACTTTAGAACACACATTTATTAAATAGATAGCCCTTGAATATGTACATTAACAAAAAGTATAGATATCTCTGAAGAATGTTGTCCTATGTCCTTTATCCTCTAGGAAGCGTTTGTCCTACTCAGAGTCGGTCTACATGGAGGGCGATGCCAGTCCTCCGCTTGCTGCTCGCCGACGCTTCTCAGCTCTGATGGACACGCACCGCTTTGCCTGTATGTGGGGGTGGATTTTAATAATTGATGTGAAGGGGTGTATTAAATGGGGGGATTGGGGGGGGTGGGTTAAGGGGGGGTTGGGTTGAGTTTGTTGGGGGGGAGTATTAGGGTGTGGGGTCATAAAGAGGGGGGGGGGGAGGGGGGGGGGAGGAGGGGAGGGGGGGGGGGTGTGGGGGGAGGAGAAAAGGTATGAGAGGATGGGAAGGTGGGGGGGGTTATGTAGGGTGTTTTATAGGGTTTTTGAGTGTGGGGTTTGGGGATGGTGGATGGGTATGTTGGGGTATTTTTGTGGGGTGGGGAAGGTTTTGTTTTTGATGAATTTATTTTTGTTGGTTGGTGTTAGTGTTTATGGGGTGGGGTGGTTGGGTGTTTTGTGGTGGGTTGGGTTTTGGGGTTGTTGGGTTGTGGGGGTTGGTGTTGGTGTTGGGTTGTATATATCTTGTGGGGTTTTTAAATTGGGTTTTTTAGGTGTTTGATGGTTGGGGATAGGAGGATTATGAGAGAGAGGGGTGTGTAATGATTGGTTGTAAGTTATTGGGTTTTTGTGGTTTTTGGGGGGGGAGTTTTGTATATTATTGTACATGGGAGATTATTGGTGAATTATAGAATGTGATGTAATTTAAAAATATAGAGGATAAGAGTTTAAGGAGGAAGCCTGTGGGAGTAAATATTTTGGGGATGAAGCCTGAATAAGAGAGGGGCGTTAAATAATCCTTTTTTTTGGGCATATGTTGTCAGCACATAGAGGAGTTTTTGGTGAAAAGGCCCTGCTCAGGAAGCTGGTCTGTGTGCTGGTGACCTCAATCACTCCACGTGAACGGAGAACCTGTCCACGGTCTGGTCCACACTGAAGTGTTGAACTTATTCTCAAGGTACGTCTAAATAACGCCAATATTTGAATGGATTAATTTTTGACTGTAATAACTGTCATATCTATAGCTGGATATAAAATGTTTATTATACTTTCAGAGTGGAAACAAAGTGACTGTGACAACTACACCTTTTGAAAACACCTCTATAAAAGTGGGACCTGCCCGTAAAGCTAGTTATAAGTGTAAAAATGGCCAGACGAAATAAAAAGACCTTGGGAAAGGATAGCCAGGACAGGTAGCTACAATTTATTATACCTCCACTTGTTTATTGTACATTTACCAATAATGAAAATTCAATTATCTTTGTTTTCTTTCAGTAAAAACGCAACTCTTTGTTTCGTAAGATCACAAAACAGTCCAATCTCCTGCACACAAGCCGCAGTCTGTCGTCTTTGAACCGCTCCTTGTCCCTCAAGTGAAAGTCTTCCTGGCTCTCCGACACACAGCTTGTCACACGTTCCCCCACTCAGGGATACCGTTCCACCACTGAGGCCTTCCCATCTGGGTAAAATCATGTCAAATATACAGAACAGTAGAGCTGCGCTATTAATCACAATCAATTTGAAATCGCTGCAATTACAGGTAGCAAATTAATATACATTACATTATTTTCTTCACTAACAGGAAATGACCTTGTAGCATGTGATACTTGATATCCCTGTGTTTCTAAAATAGGCTTAGAAATGGGATCAGTGCAAAATGTCAAAAACGGCTATTTAAATTGGAAACTGTAGAATCATAATTAGATATGCTTTACGATCGTGCAGCCAACAAACTGATGACTACTTGGGTTTTGGTATCTACAAATAGATAACAGCTGTTCTTTTTACTCAAGGTGCATCATCCCAAAGCAGTTCTTCATCTTCAAGCACTCCTAACTCCCCAGCTCCCTCACAGCACATGAGGCCGAGCTCTCTGCATGGCCTGTCGCCGAAGCTGCACCGCAGTATCGATCTGCTCGCTGCAAATCGGCTGGGAACATTCCCCTGTCTCCTCTGGCTCACACTCCGTCACCTACTCAGTCCTCTCCTCGCCTCTGCCTGGCCACACTGTCGGCAGCTCCAACACTACGCAGTCCTTTTCCTGTCAAACTTCACTCCTCTCCACCTGTGGTCCGCCCAGGCCCAAGAGCGCAGAGCCCTCCTCGATCCCCTCTCCTCAAACGGGTGCAGTCGGCGGAGAAACTGGGCTCACCACTTACCCCTTCCAGTTCGACAGGGGGTCTAGGAGGTCCATTGAGAAAGCACAGTCTCGAGGTGCAACACTCTGAATCCGTAAGGATGCCTTTCTCTGTGGAGCTTGGTCTGCAGAATTTACTTGAGACGGACGGAGAAAATCTACCACCAAATGCTCCTACTATGCCTTCGTCTTCATCTTCGTCATCGCTGCCTGAGACTGGCGTGCTAAAGCCTGTGAGAGAAGACTGGCAGCGCAAGAATCCCCTCTGACAGAGAGACACTCCTAGCCGAGTGGCGAGAAGAGGACTAAGAGAGGGAGACCGACCGCCCGTTTGGAAAGAGCGAGCAGACTTGGAGCAGCTCAAAGAAAGATCCCAACAAGATCTGTTTTATTGAACAGAAACCTAGAGGACATGTCGATTCTTCTAAATCCTCGCACCCCATCCAAACCTATTGAGAGCGTAAATGGACAGAAAGGAAGTGGTTAAAGCTCTCCAGAATCAAGACAGAATTTATTTCTAAACTTGAACAAAAATAGTGTCCTTATAATAACTGACCCCAAGGAGCAAGTCAAGCAAGATGTTACCAACAAAATCCACTGAGTACTTCCATCAACAAGGGGTCGGCTTCTTCTGTGGACAAAAACATGCTAGGAAAAAATTTTGAATATAAACTTTAAATCTTCCGGCATGGGTTGAGAGTTTGCGAAAAGACAGTAATGATATTGGGTTCTAAAAGCCCAAAGCTTCAGTCCAGAGTGCTGGCCCCAGGATCCCTCCTCATGGACCAGCCACTCTTCTCTCTGGGAAAGGTCCGTCAGGGTCCTAGGGCCTGTCCACTGCTACAAGGGAGACCCTGACTGGGAGGAAACAATGTCGCCTGGAGTGTGGAGGATACTCGCCTTCAACCCTCGCCCTCTCCCACTGCTGTCACCCCCTCCCTCTGTGACACTCCTTTGGTAAATCACGACCGGTTTCTCCCGGTGACAAGACAACTTTCGTGAGCCAGCAGACCACTGTAGCCAAACAAGTTCCTTGCACCATCAAACGGGGTCTCAAGAAGGGGCTAAGAGTAAAGTACGGGAGGAGAAGCTGGGGCCCCGGCAAATGTGATGCTTCTTCAGGGGGGCGAGGTCGGACAGCTGCAGAGACCAAAGTCATGCCAGTCATCACCTCTGGATAAAGCTGCCACAGGTGCAGTCTGCCGAAACTTTGAACATCTGTGCCTGTAAAGAAAGTGTCTCAGCAAATGCCTTTTTAGAACTGATGTAAAAACACTTATACGCTGTACATTCCATTTTAAAAATACTATATACACAGTTATTATTGAATTAACCAGGGGCGTACCTCCTGTGTCCAATGTGACTCTCCAATGCAGATGATGTGTTTTGTGAATGATGGCATTTAATGTTAATTCATGGTCAAAAGTGGATAACGCCCGCTGCCTATTTTTGGCCCTCACTTACTTGGCGTCTTCCTGATTCCGCGTGCAGTATTGCGATTGATGGATTTCAAACATGCCTTTCTTTGTTGACTAATGTAACGACTGTTATCCTGTGTCGCTGGAGAACGAGGGGAACGGGTCCTGTACCTTTATGACGCGCTGCTAATGTGGATGAAGAACGCTACTCGTAACTGCGTTTTTAAGTGGCATTTAATCATCAGCTTTGAAGATTTAACACATAACACATTGGCCATACGTGTACGTGTACAAAACTTAACAAAAACAAACGGTCAACAAAGAAATACGGCTACCCAGATCCCTACGACTTCTCACCTGAACGCCGGTGTCTGCCATATTTAAAGGTCCCGGCATATCCCCAGAGCTCACGTGACTCACGCACCTCCCCTGACGTTACCATAGCAACCCAACACATTATGGCTCTCACACCATAAATAGCTTTGATTAATTGTCGATCTTGAAAAAGGCAGTTTTTAATCATCATAGTAAGACTGTTCAACTAAACAATAGACGGTTTATAAAATACAGTTGTGCTCTGTTATGTCAGGTGTGTGGCACTCCAGAGTACATTGCCCCGGAGGTGATCCTTAGACAGGGTTATGGGAAGCCTGTCGACTGGTGGGCCATGGGCATTATCCTTTATGAGTTCTTGGTGGGTTGCGTTCCCTTTTTCGGTGACACCCCGGAGGAGCTGTTTGGGCAGGTGATCACAGGTGAGATGTTTTATCACGCTCTGTCTGCAGGGTCTGGTGTCATTCTGACTTGTCTCCCTGTTGCAGATGATATTGTTTGGCCCAATGGAGATGATGCGCTGCCTGCAGATGCTCAGTCTCTCATCTCTGCCCTTTTACAAACTAATCCACTCGTGCGACTAGGGACAGGTGTGCTAACTGATCAGTAATGGAAACACGTGCGTCTTCCACCAGTGTTAATTCATGCCATGGACTGTTGTAGGTGGCGCCATTGAAGTGAAGGAGGATTCGTTCTTCACTGGTTTGGATTGGAACAGTTTACTGAGACAGAAAGCTGAATTTATCCCTCATCTTGAATCAGAGGAGGACACCAGCTACTTCGACAGTATGTGCCATTCCATATTGATCTCACTATTCCTTTTAAGGTTAAGATTAAGAAATTCTTTATTCTTCCCACAGTGGGGTAATTTCAGTGTTGCAGAAGTTACAGAACAGTAGGAATCAGAAGCACACAGCACAAGATAAATGAACAATAACTCTATACTAAATCAAATGAAATAAAACATCTTTAACTCCAGCATGAAGAAGAAACAAGTATATTATATCTATCTTTAGCATAATGAGTACATAAAAACTCTTTGGCCTAACCCTAACCCTAACCCTAAAGACTTTGGCATAGTAAAGAAGAATAAAATCTCTACCTAGAATTTAATGCCAAAGGTTTTAGTGCAAGTAATTTATAGTTGTTAGGTGCATGAAGGTATGTGTTCAACAGTGGACACATGTGGTTCTATACTTCACATTCTGACAGTATTAAAGTTATGTTTTGCTAGTTTTCATGTAATAGGGAGGAATACTGCTACATTTTCTGAGAGCTGTTCTCTCTTCAGCACGCTCCGACCGCTATCATCATATCAACACATATGATGAGGATGACACCAACGACGATGAGCCTGTGGAGATCAGACAGTTCTCGTCCTGCAGTCCGCGATTCAGCAAGGTCTGACCCTGCTCTTCTCTCCCTCTGTTCTCGGCTCCCTTAATCTCTGCTTTTGGCATTTACACAGAGGCACACTGTAGTCCCCCTAAAAGTTCTTTGATGAGACTCTATTGGGGGATGAAACAGATGTAAATGGGTCAGATTTCCACACCTGGTTTGTCGGCCAGGTTGCACGCTTGGAGTTTGTTCCATTTGTTATGTTCCATTTGTTCAAACATATTTGACGGTCCAATTCCAAGTGTAGTTCTGTGGCCTTTTACATTTTTGGAAGATAATGTTTGTTTATTATTACATTGTTATCATCACATTCACTTATTGCATGTCCCCCCTCCAATTACTGAGCTGACATTTATTCAAACAATTTAGCATTGAATTGTTTTGTGTTTGTTAACGCATACTGACACAGCACAGTCCAAGTGGCTTATGAGCTTGTTCGTCTTGTTGATATGGAGTTCATCTTCTTACGATTGGCCAACAAAGACTTTCTTTGAGATCTAACTGCAATAGGTGTTATTACTGATACATTATTATCTATGTCCTCCCCCACACATCTGTTTTACAGCTTTATCAGTGTTAATGGCCATACTTCTGTTCGTTCACTACTTAATAATGGCTTTTAAAAATGCTTTGCTTGGGAACTGGTGGTTTGCTGTGCACCATTGAACTACTTTCTTTGCTAATTAATTGCTGAATTGATGAATTAATGTATAGTTTGTTACACAATTAAATGGTTTCATAAGGGTTCAGCTTTTAACCAAAAAAGACAGTTATGCACTTCCTTTCTGCAAATATTTTGAGCTAATTTGGCATAAATGCAACAAATAATCCACTACAGCAGACTAATTTGTATGCTATTACGCCTCAGGTTTACAGCAGTATGGAGCATCTCGCTCAGTTGGAGCAAAAAGCCAGCAGCTCTGTCTCCCGTCGAGAGCACAGGAGCCCACGCGATGTGACGAAGAGAGAGAGTCTGGGCAGCTTCAGCATGAGGGACAAAGGCTGGAGGACCGGATCACCTGAGATGTTAGTGAAATGTTACTTTAGAACACACATTTATTAAATAGATAGCCCTTGAATATGTACATTAACAAAAAGTATAGATATCTCTGAAGAATGTTGTCCTATGTCCTTTATCCTCTAGGAAGCGTTTGTCCTACTCAGAGTCGGTCTACATGGAGGGCGATGCCAGTCCTCCGCTTGCTGCTCGCCGACGCTTCTCAGCTCTGATGGACACGCACCGCTTTGCCTCTCCTCTGGAGGCAGAGTCAGAATCACTGACTCGCCCCAACCCCATCAGGGTCCGTGGGACTTCTCTGGACGGATCCTGTGTCCCGTCACCAAGCATCTTGGAGCAGAGAAACAATATTAAGGAGATCAATGGTGCAGGTTGGTACCTGTATTTCTAAGAAATGTTTTCAGCAACATTTTTACATTTGAGACAGTTCGACTGGCCCCTGACTGGCTCTCTGCTGAGTGTGTGGGAAGCAGACTTTAGTAAACACTTTCAAATGCTATAATTAGTGTCATACATTTCATATTTTACAGACAAGACCTGTAAACAAAGAGAACTTCCAGCAACAACCTCAAGTATCAACACTCTGTCCCCTGATCGAGACGTGATCACCCCTCTGTTTGATCCTGTCGGCCCGAGAGGCACTAATGACCTTGTGCTGCGTAGAGCACGTCAGAAACCGTTACCCACAGATGAAAAACGCCATTCAAAAACTGGGAATAAAGTCATTAAGTCAGCTTCTGCAACAGCTCTCTCTGTTATTATACCATCAGGTAATACAGAACATGTTATAAATATGAAAAATGTGTGGTTCTTATATGAACACATCTTGTCCTCAGTGGATCAACATGGAGCCTTCTCTCCTTTGGCGAGTCCTATGTCCCCACACTCGTTCTCCTCTAATCCTTCGTCCCGGGACTCGTCTCCCAGCAGAGATTTCTTCCCAGCTGTAAGTGTGCTGCGCTCCCCCATCACTATCCACCGCTCGGGCAAGAAATATGGCTTCACCCTCCGGGCGATCAGAGTCTACATAGGAGACAGTGACATCTACAGTGTCCACCACATTGTTTGGGTAAGACAGACATGAATTATTTTTTACACGACTACCGTTACGTCCCATATATTTGAATTAAGGAGAATTATAATGTCTTTTTTAGTCTTTTAAAAGCCTGTCTGCGTTAATAATCCTTTTTTTGCATTTGTTGTCAGCACATAGAGGATGGTGGCCCTGCTCAGGAAGCTGGTCTGTGTGCTGGTGACCTCATCACTCACGTGAACGGAGAACCTGTCCACGGTCTGGTCCACACTGAAGTGGTTGAACTTATTCTCAAGGTACGTCTAAATAACGCCAATATTGGAATGGATTAATTTTTGACTGTAATAACTGTCATATCTATAGCTGGATATAAAATGTTTATTATACTTTCAGAGTGGAAACAAAGTGACTGTGACAACTACACCTTTTGAAAACACCTCTATAAAAGTGGGACCTGCCCGTAAAGCTAGTTATAAGTGTAAAATGGCCAGACGAAATAAAAAGACCTTGGGAAAGGATAGCCAGGACAGGTAGTACAATTTATTATACCTCCACTTGTTATTGTACATTTACCAATAATGAAAATTCAATTATCTTTGTTTTCTTTCAGTAAAAAACGCAACTCTTTGTTTCGTAAGATCACAAAACAGTCCAATCTCCTGCACACAAGCCGCAGTCTGTCGTCTTTGAACCGCTCCTTGTCCTCAAGTGAAAGTCTTCCTGGCTCTCCGACACACAGCTTGTCAGCACGTTCCCCCACTCAGGGATACCGTTCCACCACTGAGCCTTCCCATCTGGGTAAAAATCATGTCAAATATACAGAACAGTAGAGCTGCGCTATTAATCACAATCAATTTGAAATCGCTGCAATTACAGGTAGCAAATTATTTACATTACATTATTTTCTTCACTAACAGGAAATGACCTTGTAGCATGTGATACTTGATATCCCTGTGTTTCTAAAATAGGCTTAGAAATGGGATCAGTGCAAATGTCAAAAACGGCTATTTAAATTGGAAACTGTAGAATCATAATTAGATATGTCTTTACGATCGTGCAGCCCAACAAACTGATGACTACTTGGGTTTTGGTATCTACAAATAGATAACAGCTGTTCTTTTTACTCAAGGTGCATCATCCCAAAGCAGTTCTTCATCTTCAAGCACTCCTAACTCCCCAGCTCCCTCACAGCACATGAGGCCGAGCTCTCTGCATGGCCTGTCGCCGAAGCTGCACCGGCAGTATCGATCTGCTCGCTGCAAATCGGCTGGGAACATTCCCCTGTCTCCTCTGGCTCACACTCCGTCACCTACTCAGTCCTCTCCTCCGCCTCTGCCTGGCCACACTGTCGGCAGCTCCAACACTACGCAGTCTTTTCCTGTCAAACTTCACTCCTCTCCACCTGTGGTCCGCCCCAGGCCCAAGAGCGCAGAGCCCCCTCGATCCCCTCTCCTCAAACGGGTGCAGTCGGCGGAGAAACTGGGCTCACCACTTACCCCTTCCAGTTCGACAGGGGGTCTAGGAGGTCCATTGAGAAAGCACAGTCTCGAGGTGCAACACTCTGAATACCGTAAGGATGCCTTTCTCTGTGAGCTTGGTCTGCAGAGTTTACTTGAGACGGACGGAGAAAATCTACCACCAAATGCTCCTACTATGCCTTCGTCTTCATCTTCGTCATCGCTGCCTGAGACTGGCGTGCTAAAGCCTGTGAGAAGACTGGGCAGGCAAGAATCCCCTCTGAGCAGAGAGACACTCCTAGCCGAGTGCGAGAGAGGACGAGAGAGGGAGACCGAGCCCGTTTTGGAAAGAGCGAGCAGACTTGGAGCAGCTCAAAGAAGATCCCAACATGATCTGTTTTTATTGGAACAGAACGCTAGAGGACATGTCGATTCTTCTAAATCCTCCTGCACCCCATCCAAACCTATTGAGAGCGTAAATGGACAGAAAGGAAGTGTTAAAGCTCTCCAGAATCAGACAGATTTTATTTCTAAACTTGAACAGAAAATAGTGTCTTATAATACTGACCCCAAGGAGCAAGTCAAGCAAGATGTTACCAACAAAAGCCACTCGAGTACTTCCATCAACAAGGGGTCGGCTTCTTCTGTGGACAAAAACATGCTAGGAATGAATAAAACTTTTAAATCATCCGGCATGGGTGAGAGTTTGCGAAAAGACAGTAATGATATTGGTTCTAAAAGCCCAAAGCTTCAGTCCAGAGTGCTGGCCCCAGTGATCCCTCCTCATGGACAGCCACTCTCTCTGGGAAAGGTCCGTCAGGGTCTAGGGCCTGTCAACTGCTACAGGGGAACCCTTGACTGGGAGGACAAGTGTCGCCTGGAGGTGGTGGAGGAGCACTCGCCTTCACCCTCGCCCTCTCCCACTGCTGTCACCCCCTCCCTCTGTGGACCCTCCCTTTGTAAATCACGACCGGTTTCTCCCGGTGACAAGACAAGCTTCGTGAGCCAGCTGACCACTGTAGCCAAACAAGTCCTTGCACCCATCAAACTGGGGTCTCAAGAAGGGGCTAAGAGTAAAGTAGCGGAGGAGAAGCTGGGGGGCACCGGGGGCAAATGTGATGCTTCTTCAGGGGGGCGAGTCGGGACAGCTGCAGTGACCCAAAGTCCTGCCAGTTCACCTCTGGATAAAGCTGCCACAGGTGGCAGTCTGCCGAAACTTTGAACATCTGGGTCTGTAAAGAAAGTGTCTCAGCAAATGCCTTTTTAGAACTGATGTTAAAGCACTTATACGCTGTACATTCCAGTTTAAAAATACTATATACACATGTTATTTATTGAATTTAACCAGGGGGCGTACTGTGCTCTCAGGTGCACGGTACCGTTTTTATCACAAATAATTCAATGTGACTCCTCCAATGTAACAAGAGAAATTTTATCTGATGTTTATGTGTGTTTGTGAATGCATGACATATGATACTGTACATTTAATGTTTAATTCAAATGGTCAAAAGTGCTTTACTGATCAAAACATGCTGAATACTGTGAAAACCAAATCCAGTGTCTCGTTTCTTTCAGCCTATTTTTTCCTCTGACAATTGAATAAAACAAAAGTGATGAATTATTTTTAAAATCCTCTCAGTTAGGGTTTGTAGACACATCCACAGTCTGTATGTATGGTACCCCGGGCCTCTTGGTGCCCCGCGTCTGGAAGAGCAGAGAGCTTATCTGCTCTTTGCAGGAGCACCATTGAAGCCTCTTCCCCAAAATGACTTCAGCCTCATCCCCGCACTAATATCCACTTAACCATAGCAAGCAGCCGTGTCTATACATGATTTTGGTTCATTTAAAACCTTTTGTGACTGGTAACAGACAAATTTTAACTATTAACAGTTGCCATTATTATATACGTCATGGTTCTTTTTGGGACAATTCAGAGGTCTATTGCTTGGGATGGTATTAAAAATAAAATATACAAGCACATTAACAAAAGAAAAATGTGTTGTCAGGAAATAAGGCTTTTCTGAATGTAGCATATACTGTATACAAAGGGCTTTTGGGTGGAAAAGCCTTGAGAGACTGGTGAATAGATTTTGTTGCCTATTTAGTGGAAATTACAGGAAAGGCATTTATACAAACAGCTTCCAGAGAATGGATACATAACCTATTAAACAGTATTATTTTCTGTATGATTATAATTGTTTTGACAAAATACGAAAAGTCCCCAACATCTTCTGGCCTTTATCTGATTTAAAACACAAATATCATGACTACAGACTTTCAGGTTTTATTTGTCAGTATATAAATTGGCAGTAAGAAATTGTGGGGATTGATGAGTTATATATAGAGTCTGATTTAAGTGGCACTATCCTGCCCTCTAGTGTCTACTTTAGTGTAGACAAAAATCTAATATTGGCACCCAGTCGCAGCAAAGCTTTCACTCGCGAAACGGTCCAATGGGAGAAGATCCTTTGATTTTTGCAGTGTTGATGAGACTGTCAGCATTAGGTGTCAACATAATTCGTTTATATATTTTTTATCTGAGACACGGTAAATCGTAACCACCATGCTCTGTTTTAGCTGTAGATGTGAAAATATTGTGCTTGTAAGTACAATTGCACTTTATTTTGGAAATGTAATTGTAATTTGATATGAAAAAATTACAGAAAGAAACACGAAGAAATACAAGTAAGAAATACATTCCATATTTCTCTGTTCACTAAAGTGTATTTATTTGTACCTTGGGGCATTTTTTTTTTGTGATAGATGTGATTTCAAATTGACACCTTGACTCGAGTATATGTAATAAAATTAAGGAATACACTTTTGTTCTGGCTACGTTTTTATTGTAAATGTCCTCCAAAGATAGAAATAGTTCCACCAACCAATCAGAGTGCAGCAGCTATGGATAACAGGAAGTGGACCAGACGGAAGGAGATCTTAAGCCCTGGTCCTTTTCTGTCACTTTTAAAACACATAATTAACTAGATTTACGCACTGATATTTAACTTAATGCTTCTATTATCTCCGGTGAGTGCACTTCCTCCTGAATTTGTCCAATCCACTGGTAAGTTAACGCTACAGAACTGAAACACGTATTAGCATGTTAGCATTAGCACTTAATATCTTTACTAGAATGTTAAGGGATTCATAGAAATATGTATCTATATGCCTCGTGTGATGTTTTAAGTTAATCATTCTATATTCATCTATATCGGTGTATGTCTGTTTTTGTTTATTAAAAACATAGCATAGCATACTAATAAGTAGATGAAATATAGTTAATGTCAGTAGTCAAACATATCTTGGGTTATTGCTTTATCGGAACTTAAAAGGCTGTAGCTGTAGCTGTTATAATGAGATGTCAAACAATGGTAAGTATTGTGAGGGTGAATACGCCAGACACGGATCAAATGATCATCACATGATGAGGTCCTTTGCTTTTGAGAATAGCACTGGTCTTTTAAATACAATTATAGTAAAATGACTTTATAGTTTACGTGATGTAATCTTTGAATATCTTTGACGGGAGCAGAGGATCTTCTTCACTACAGCACTGGATTATTTTACCAGGATTTTACTATATTACAGCATAGGTAATGAAAAGCACAATTATTTCTGAATGCACTACATTATTCTGCTGTTTTAGAATTTGTATATCGTTTTAACCTAAAATGGCAAATTAACTTTACTGTACCACTTCTTTGCAGAATTGTTTTAGAATGAAGAGGTCTGGTGTGCGGGTGTGAGCCATGAACTCGGTGTCCCCCAGTGCTGCTCAGTATGTGGGGGGTGTGATGCAGGATGAGCCTCTGGACATCCACAGGCATCAGGGCAGTCATGGACCCAGGCCTGACCCCACACGCGATGCAGCTGAAGAACCCGATGAAGTGGATAAACTCAAGGCTAAATTTGTTTCAGTTTGGAACAATGTAAAATATGGTCAGTTTCAATAAGATTTTTTAAGAGAATTCTTTTTGTCACTTTCTTCAGCTAAACTGGGTTATGGATTGTATTGGATTGGATTTCAGAAACATGACCCTAATTATGGTACAAATGTCTATCTCTCCCCCCCACAAGGCTGGACAATAAAGACTAAAACATCATTCAATAAAACCTCTCCAATCCACATCCTGGGGCAGTCGTTTCTCCTCAACAGTGAGGGTAAGGTTTAAGAGCTTTATTTGTACCACAGTGCACTCAGAAACAGGTTAATGGCTATAAAAAATGTGAATTATGAATTAAAAAATACATTAAAGAATAAAGATAGTAAAATTATTTAGCTAATTATATTGTGTCTCCAATAATTTACACGTAAAACCAAACTAATACATCCTAACGTGTTTTTCAGATGAAGTAGAGCGATTTCGTTTGGCTTTTGTATCTCGAATTTGGATGACCTACAGAAAGGAGTTTCCGCAACTAGAGGGCACGTCTTGGACATCAGACTGTGGCTGGGGCTGCATGCTGCGTAGTGGACAGATGATGCTGGCACAGGGGCTTTTGATCCATTTGATGCCCAGAGGTTTGTCGTAGATGTTAATTCTTGATAACATGAATTTATATCACATCGGGTAACTCTTTGAATATGGATCCTTTTTAGATTGGACTTGGCCTGATGCTCATCCACTAACTGATGTGGATTTTGAAGTTTTCCGTCCTCAGTCTCCAGTCCGAGCTGCTGGTATTCCCATTCCCTCATTTGCTGCTTCTCGAATGCAAAACACCCCTGAGAAAAGAAGTGAAAATATGGCCAAAATGAGCCAGAAGAACAGACCCGAGTACACCAGGGATAAGCAAGTAGAGCCCATCCACCACAAGCTGCTGGCATGGTTTGAGGACCAACCATGCGCAGCTTTTGGAGTGCATGAATTGGTGGAAGTTGGCAAGAGTTCAGGGAAAAAAGCAGGTGACTGGTATGGTCCCTCTATTGTGGCACACATACTTCGGTGAGGAAAATCAGTGTTCTCTAGTAAATAAACTTTAAGTCAATGTATTTTTATTTTTATTTTTATTTTTAGGAAAGCTGTTTCAAAAACCTCAGTGGTCCATAACTTGGCTGTTTATGTGGCTCAGGATTGTACTGGTGAGTTGCTTAAGATGAATGCTGAAGTTATGTTAAAAGTACATGTGTATGCTTCTATTGCAGTGTACAAAGGAGATGTGATCCACCAATGTGATCTGTCACAAAGTCAACCTCAGTCTAACCACTCATGGACGTCGGTAATCATACTCGTACCTGTTCGCTTGGGGAGTGAGGCTCTAAATCCTTCCTACATTGAATGTGTAAAGGTCTGTATTAGTTTTTACATTCTGTTATTACCCGCCTTCGTGTACATTAACATGGTTTCTTTTTAATCCAGAATATTCTACAACTTGAGTGTTGTATTGGTATCATTGGAGGCAAGCCCAAACACTCACTCTACTTCATTGGCTTTCAAGGTGAGGGGTCACTACTAATTTAAAAGTAGATAAATATGTCATTCATTTTCTAATATGATGTGAAAATAAATCTCTGGCAGATGAACATTTACTTTATCTGGATCCTCATTATTGTCAACCTGTGGTAGATTTCACTGATGTTAACTTTTCTCCAGAGGTTTGTACAGTTAAAATGTATGACTAAAAGATATTTACAAAAAACTTTTCATTTTTGTAATCTGCTCTCTCCTCTGCAGTCATTCCACTGTAGTTCACCCAAAAAGATGCCATTTAATCGTATGGATCCGAGCTGCACCATCGGCTTCTATGCCAAAACCAAAAAGGACTTCGAATCACTCTGTTCTGCTGTTAATGTGGTGAGTTGCTCCTCTGTATCTTAAAGTATGGTATTGTTCATGATCCACAGAACAATAAATAGGCCCAGTACATGCCAGATCAACTTTTTTATTTATTTATGATTTTAAAAGAACATTTTCTAAGTCAATGGGACTGTGCGATAGTGTGCTGAGAGCAGCATGAGCCAAGATTGACAATGTTCAATCTCTGAGGTCAATGGGTGGTGTGGTAGCACGACTGACACCATGGTGCTAGGGTCACAGGCAGGTCAGAGGAGCCCATCTCATTGTTGAAGAACTTTGTTAGTGCAAAAAAAGCCACTGTCCATCACTTCTATCACTCTGGCCAATGCCTGATTTATACCCTCTCTCTACCCTGACTCTTCTGACCTGACACCAAGTTTTTCTTTTCTGAATCTGATGATGATTCTCCAGTCTTGCTCTCCATTTTTGCGTGAAGGGAAAATAAATAACGCCTGAGGATTGACCTGGCTGGTCAGACTAGACTCAGCACATAGCAGACATAAACTTTCTATGTGTTTAGACATGAGTAAGACCTTGCGTATAAGCTAACATTGTTTTTTCCCTTTAGGCTCTCACATCATCAAAAGAGAACTATTCCATCTTCACATTTGTGGAAGGGCGTAGTCAGGACTATGGACTGGAGGACCACAGCAGCAATCACAGTATTCCTATAGCCCACATTTTTCCTCATCATACTGTTGAAAACAATAGAAGAAACAGTGATGAGTTTGTCTTCCTGTAAAGCACTGTGGACACTATTTTATTTAAAAGAAAGGGGATAATGTCCCAGCTCGGCACGTCTTTGTATCGTTTGCTTTGTGTTGTGTGGAGCTGGAGCTGGAGTGGACAATGTCTACCAACCTCTCATCTAAAGAATTGTAGAAATTATGTACAAAATGTTTATTTGGATGCTAATTTTTAAAAACTGGAGCTGTTCGTTGTTGCTGATGTTCAGTACTGGCCATATTCTTGTAAATATTGTGTTATGTACATTGCATTGTGTGTATGTATAATATATATATAATTTTTTATATATATATATAATATATATAATTTCATTTCATTTCATTTCATGTCTGCTTGAGAGTGTACATATTTCTTTCCTGTGATACATGTGTGGGTTTGTGATATTTCAAAATAATTTTTCCCCCCTAACAGGTCAGAACTTGTGGGCATCTCTGTTAGGTTTTCAACGTTTTTTTTTTTTTTTATAATTTATTCATATAAAATATGTCAAATCTACTGACATTTCTGATTTAAGGTGGAATGATGTGAATGATGTGAATGTAACAAACCATTCAATAAATATGTTGGAAGTATACCTAATAATGTTGTAGAATAACATTTCCTATGCCACACAGACGTTCCCTTAACCGAATGTTCATATTGATATAAAACATAATAAAGTCTGTCCCTTTGTGGATGCACTTCTCCCTGTCACTGTACACGCATGCGCAGTAGCTGCCCGTCGTGACTAGACATTCGGTCATAAGCGGTGCAGGGGGGCGCTCGAGCCGCGTCGCTGGTGCAAATCAAAGCTTGGAGGCAGATTACAAAGTGGGTGAGTAGTCTAATTGCAACTACCGAGTCTTCGGTTAGTCAGCCACTACGTAAACTCGTCAGCGCTGAAAATACGCAAGACCGATGGTCAGGGATGCGGGTAGGTCAGTCGCATTAAGCACAGTCCGCCATTCCCCTTTTATATTTAAGAAGGAAACCCCTCTTTTGGTTATTGGGAGAAACATAAGAGCAGAGCAGTGCCGGTAAAGATGCTCTTCTGCTCGAGCTGCTCTTGAACCTCAGACAGCTGCAGACTCTCCGTGGTTCTGGTGCAGCGCAGCAGCATCTGCACATACAGACTCACCCACATTCTGCAAAGGAAGCATCTGTTCATAACTTAGATACTACACATTTAAATCACATGAGCATGGATTGTATTCAAAGGAACCATGCTGCTTTGGTATTTATCATTCTTTTATCTTCATGTCCCCAGGTCTCTGTTGAGACAGGAGCAGGTGTCCCAGGTTGATGTCCACACCAGAACCTCCTATGGGAGGCAGCTCCCGCCCCGGGCCTTCCCCTGGTCCGGGGCCTTCTCCTGGGGCTATGCTGGGGCCCAGCCCTGGGCCCTCACCTGGCTCCTCTGGTCATTCCCAACCTGGACCATCTGGATACACCCAGGACAACGTGCACACTCTGCACAAAGTGAGCTGCCCCCCTATTCCATGATCCTCATCGATGATTATTTATTCATTGCCTAATATCCCTATATTTTAAGGAACTATTTATTTTTGATTCATGATAGAATTTAGCAAGGACATTTTAGGCTTTTTTTGTCATGGAAAAAAATCTATGAACTAATTTTATTTCTTCCCACAGCCTGTGGAAAGCATGCATGACAAGACCACAAATGAAGATGGTCGTTACAGTCAGATGAAGGGTCTGACAATGAGGCAGGGTGGACACAGTGGCATGGGCCCCCCTCCCAGTCCTTTGGACCAGCACTCACAAGGTAATCATGCTTCATCTGTTTGAGAGCCAGTCTAACATGTGACAGACACATTTATGGTCATGATAACCTCATAAATAATAGTGCAGTTAAACATAAAATATATTACAATTTAGTTGTAGTCTGGTGTTTGCTGTAATCAGTTTTGTTTTCCAGGTTATCATTCTCCTTTAGGTGGTTCGGACCACTCCAGCCCCATCCCGTCCAATGGGCCGCCCTCTGGCCCTCTGATGTCGTCATCATCATCCTCTTCAGGGGGGCTAAGCACCGCCTCTACTCCTCTAGATGGTGGAGAACAACACTCTCTAGGTCCCACTAATCGTCCTGGGCCTCCAGGAAGCTCTGGACCAGGTCCCAATCCTGCTCCAAGTATTGGCTCCCTGGGACCAGGTCTGGAGCCTGCTGGCCCTTCTGTACCCGGGGGTCCCACTCCCTTCAACCAGAACCAACTTCACCAGCTGCGGGCACAGATCATGGCATACAAGATGTTGGCTCGTGGCCAGCCTCTTTCTGAACACCTGCAGATGGCCGTCCAGGGCAAAAGGCCAATGCCAAGCCTGCCCCCTGGGGCAGGAGGGGGGCCTGGTGTGGGACCACCCGGTCCTATGGGGCCCAGCTTCAGTCGAGCCCACGGTGAGCCATCCTTTAGACTTAGTCTTGAGTGATATGTAAACATGTAATGATAATAATAGAACATATAATACTATTCAACAACTAAAACTACCTCACATGACCTTAAATGGCTTTCATAATAACTTAAATGCCATGAATAAAACAGAAACATTCATTTATCCATTTTGTTCCACTTTATCCGATACTGGGTAGCAGGGGCAGCAGTCAGCAGAGACGTCCAGACTTCCGTCAAACTGCTTTTATTAAGGCCCACTTTGTCTCTTTATGCAACATTTTAAAAAGCATTCTGGGTGTTGTTATTGGACTAAAAGATAATTAAAAAGTAATTAAAAATATCCACAAACCTGATTTGTACCTGCTTGAATTCATGGAATTGTTCCTTTGACCATAATCATCTACTGTATGGCTTTGAAGTAATCCTTGGAGAATGTTCCTAAGTATGACTGTTTCTTGTTCCATGGAATCATGTGGGTGGAACGCTTGCTCCAGAAAGTTGTACAGTATTGTTTAAAAAAACATACAGTGATGAATGTGCTCGGTTTATTTAAGTATAGAATAGTTTAAAACAATAATACCCAGTAAATCACAGTAATGTGTAACTTGTTCCAATAGGAATGATGGGCCCCAACATGCCTCCCCCTGGTCCTTCAGGAGCACCATCTGGGATGCAAGGACAAAACATGAATGGACCTCCAAAATCCTGGCCTGAAGGTTCATTTTTCAAAATTGACGAATGAAAAGTTGCTAGGATCATGCTCATGATTTATTTCCCCACCATGTCCAGGCCCCATGGCAAATGCTGCAGCTCCTTCCAATGCACCACAGAAGCTGATCCCACCACAACCGACTGGACGGCCGTCTCCTGCTCCCCCCTCTGTTCCCCCCGCGGCCTCCCCTGTGATGCCCCCACAGACCCAGTCCCCTGGTCAGCCAGCTCAGCCGATCCCAATGATGCCTTACCATGCCAAGCAGAACCGCATCACACCCATCCAGAAACCGTGTGGCCTGGACCCAGTGGAGATCTTGCAGGAGAGGGAGTACAGGCAAGTGGTCTGATGCCTCATACATTGTTAAGTTTATTGTCTTGATTATTTTAACCATTGAGAAAGCAGGTAATGATAACTTTTGTTTTACTTCCGTGATTTAGATTACAGGCTCGTATCACACACCGAATAACTGAGCTTGAAAATCTGCCCGGATCTCTAGCTGGTGATCTTCGAACCAAAGCTACTATTGAACTCAAAGCCCTTCGTCTGCTCAACTTCCAGAGACAGGTACAGAATTATACAAAAAATACCACATTTATTGTATTATCGTTAAAATCACGGCTGTCAAAGTCAATTATCTTGCCTCCCAGGATGATATTTGATTAGTATTAGAACTGGCCCGCACAGAGTCAAAAGAAAATATTGGATTATTCATTTAATGTTCCGGACATGTTTTTTCTCTTTGAAGGAATTTTGTCTGTGAGCCTGTTGAAAAATGCTACCTACTGTAGCATTACTGACAGACCTATACGAAAATATTGGATTATATATTGGCCCTCTGATGTATTTGACTTTGACATCCCTGGTTTAAATACATATATTTTTTAATACACACAGCTGCGGCAAGAAGTGGTGGTGTGCATGCGCCGCGACACAGCTCTGGAGACCGCTCTTGATGCTAAAGCCTATAAGCGGAGCAAACGTCAGTCACTGCGAGAAGCCCGCATCACTGAGAAACTGGAGAAACAGCAAAAGATCGAGCAGGAGCGCAAACGGAGGCAGAAGCATCAGGTAAAACAACGAAAGGAGTCGATTTTTGTTGGGACTTAACTTGATGATGGTGGATCCTTTTTCTTATTCTATTGTAGGAGTACCTCAACAGCATCCTACAACACGCCAAAGACTTCAAAGAGTATCATCGTTCGATCACAGGCAAAATCCAGAAGCTAACCAAAGCTGTAGCCACGTATCACGCCAACACGGAGCGCGAGCAGAAGAAGGAGAACGAGCGCATTGAGAAGGAGAGAATGAGGAGGCTTATGGTAAGGTGTTATGTGAACACCATGAGCATGAGTTTTCCAATGATTTAAAACATGTTTGTGTTCAGGCGGAGGATGAGGAGGGCTATCGTAAACTGATCGACCAGAAGAAAGACAAGCGCCTGGCCTACCTGCTGCAGCAGACCGACGAGTACGTGGCCAACCTCACGGAGCTGGTGCGGGCGCATAAGGCGGCCCAGGCCCTCAAGGAGAAGAAGAAGCGGAGGAAGAGGAAGAAGAAGGTAAGATGCAATTTGCTTGTTATTTTTGAAGAAAGTTTTACAATTATTTTGATAATGGAAATGATTATATTGAAAGCTTGATATTCAATATTGAATAATGTTTGATTTAGCAGATGGAAAATGCTGAGGCCGCTCAAGCTCCTCCTCCGACACTTGGACCAGATGGCGAGGTAATCTCAATTTTTGGCTTCGTTCAGAAAATGTATATAACTCAAATTGTTGTTATTCCAGATTTTGTTTTACTTTTGGTAACTATTGATTTATTTATGTATGTGACCTTGAATATCTCGCTGGTTTGAGGACATCTCTGACATGAAACTTTAGATTAGATGGACTAGTGCTTTCTGACCTCCAAAGGTAGTTCAACAAGCGATTGAGATGTTTATGTAACTTCAAAATATTTGGTTAGAAATACAAAATATTTACTGAATTGTGATGTTTATCAGTTTGAATGCAATAGGAAAAGTGCCCCCCACTTTTATACTTTTCCTGGCAAAAGATTTTACTTGAAATAATAAGTTATGTGTTGAAAATGTTCATAAACATCACCCAAGTTTTAACCCTTTGATGGTGTCCTCAACTATTTGGTAGATGACTTTTGAGCCCCATATCTACGTTAAGCATGCTTGGGACCAAAATCGACTTCTTTGGGACATCTCACTTGTTTATAGGTTTTTACCCTCAAACTGCATCTCAAACATCTGGTAAAGGCCAATAGTTTAAAAAAAACAAACTTGGGGTTAAAAAAAAATTTTTTTAGAACTTGCGTATTATTAATTCAATTCAATTTTATTTATAGAGCCCTTTACAACACTCAAGGCGACCAAAGTGCTGTACAGTAAAATTACATAAAATCCATTCAAACAATATAACAGTTAAAAAGCATAAAAAGGTGTCACAGTGCTAATTAGTGCTCCAACATATTAAAAAATCAATACAATTAAATAATAATAATCAATCAGAATTATGTTTTGGTCATGTTCCGCTTATTATTCTCACGTACACCTTTGAACCTGCCCTTGTCTTCCTCCGCAGCCTCTGGACGAGACGAGTCAGATGAGTGATCTCCCGGTCAAAGTCATCCATGTAGACAGCGGGAATATTCTGTCCGGAGTTGATGCCCCAAGAGCCGGGCAGCTTGAGACGTGGCTGGAAATGAACCCGGGGTTAGTAACACTTTGTTTTGTAAGATTCCAGGGTAATAGAATAAATAATCAATGATAAATACTCTTTGCATGTTGTTTTTTGTTTCTTGTTTTACAGTTATGAGGTGGCTCCGCGCTCCGACAGTGAAGATAGTGAGGAGGAGGAGGAAGAGGAGGTACTTCTATTGTTTTTGTTATTTAAGGAAACTTTATTCAGGTGCAAAATTACTTGAATTCAGGTTACTAGTTCTAGATCTATGTATAGATTAAAGCTGGGCTACCTAACTTTTTAATCCATAAATAGTGTACTCAAAAAACTCAAAACAACTTTCCTGAAAGTAAAATGTTGTTAACAAATCAGCCCACAACATTATGTCTTCCTCTAATTATAGAAAAAGGTTCTGTGAGTCACTATTTGACAGTTAGGGCTGAGAGCTCATTGGCTGAATGAGGCTGGTCCTCTCTTTTTTCTCTTTTCTCTCTGAAAAAGCTGGGCAAAACAAAAATACATGCATGTGACGTTATTGTATGGTACAAGTTTTATGTTTTGGAAGTAGGAACCCCAGCTTTAATAGATGTATGTATTTTAAAAGTATATTATTGTATTTTCTTATGTGATACTGTGTGTTCAGCATTGTGATTGTTTTTAAATTTACTATACAAATACATTTTACTTGACTTGACAATGAATATACCAAAGTTATTTTTCTTACTACATTGAGCGTTATGTGTTGAGTGTCAAACTTCTACAAACAAGTCAAAAGGTGTATGCTCATCTCTGCTGAAATGAAAGACAAAATCCCTAATTCCAGTCTTTGAAATCCTGTGTAGCGTGTATCTTCTGTGCAGACTTCTGTTGGGCTGTTACAGGATGAAGAAGAAGAGCCTCAGCCCTCGACGGCACAAGTAGAGGAGAAGAAGATCAGTCACCCAGACTGTGAGGACGTGTCCGAGGTGGACGTGCGGCACATCATTGAGTGAGAACAACATGAACGCACACAAACACGCACACATCACACTGTGGTAGAAACACGGGGGTTTGTGGTCGTGTCCACAGGAACGCCAAGCAGGATGTGGACGACGAGTACAGCGGGGCGGCTTTTGAGCGTGGTCTGCAGTCCTACTACGCCGTGGCTCACGCGGTCACGGAGAAAGTGGAAAAACAGTCCACACTTTTGGTCAACGGACAACTCAAACAATATCAGGTACAAAAGGATTTTTTATTTATCAATCCAGAGCATTTGTGGCTTGGTTCTATCTGCTGCACGTTATTAAAGGGTGGTAATCACTTTCACACACTAACCCTCGATAAACATGCCCCAAACTGAATTAAAGCATTAGATCAGGCCAATTTATACAATATTGGCTGTGCCTTAATTTCTTTTCATTGATATGCTTCCATGGCATGTTATTCCTCATTCTACCTGAAGTAATTACATTCAGAAAATGAGATCAGGTAGATGGAAAATAGCTGAAAAAGAATACCCAAACACTCAATTATTTATAAAAAAATACAGTCATGATGTAAAAAAAAGGTAAATGATGATCTATAATAGTGGTGTTAAACTCATTATGGTCTGGGGTCAAATAAAAGAAACAGGAGCGCTTGTTGGGGCCAGAAGTATGAAAGTGGTAAAAAATATTTAAATTCACTGTGTTAGAGAATATTATCTAGTTTTGATTCAACCAAAAACTGGGACAAACATCAATAAGAGATGTAGGGAAAGACCATTAGTTTAAAAAATTAAAAAGTATCTATAACTTCACATGTAAATTCATATTTTAGAACAGATTCATGTATTTGGTTGTTTTGCTGAGACATATCGCCCAATCTCTCAAGTCTATCCTTTTCATACAATTTAGATGGATTTTTGTGATGTAAATGTACAGATTATTTAATTTGGCAAAAACCATTATTCTGAGAAGGAGTGGGGAAAATGGGGAGTTAATTATAGTGTTAAAAATTAGCATGGTCTTGCTATAACATTAAAGGCAGTGCATCTGGTCTCTCCCGTGTAACTGTTGTGTCCATATCCAATAAATACTGTACATAAATAACCTGTCACCTTCCTTTGCCTTTTCAGATTAAAGGGCTGGAGTGGCTTGTGTCGCTTTACAATAATAATCTGAATGGAATCTTGGCGGATGAGATGGGTTTGGGCAAAACTATCCAAACCATTGCACTCATCACTTACCTCATGGACCACAAGCGGCTCAATGGACCTTACCTCATCATTGTCCCGCTCTCGTGAGTCACAAACACATTTCCAATCACGACGCTGTGTATTAAAAGAGAAACTTAAATTGCACATTCTTTTGGCAGCACTCTTTCCAACTGGGTGTATGAGTTTGACAAGTGGGCCCCCACAGTCGTCAAAGTATCGTATAAGGTATGCAAAAACGCACTCTGAGAAGTGAATGTGCTTTCTGACATATATCGGTATTTTTAGGGGTCACCTGCCGCCAGACGAGCCTTTGTTCCACAGCTACGGAGCGGGAAGTTTAACGTTTTACTCACAACATACGAGTATATCATCAAAGACAAGCAAGTACTGGCAAAAGTAAGAATATCAGAGCGTACCATTAAACATTTCTCAGCAATGTTGCATGTCCATTGCTTGCTTTTTTAATTTGTTTTGAATTTTTGGTCCCCACCCCTGCAAAAAACCATCTTTATTTTGGCTCATCTGACCGCCTTGTGCGCTGCGTCTCAGCGTTGTCTTCTAGGTGCAGCCTTACATTGATGTGCCTCTGTCTTCTTTGGCCGCATGTAGTCATATATGCTCCCTGACTGGACTGCAAGGTGCGTATTGTGTTGTATTGTAAGAAGGACCACCCTCATGGTTCCTGGAGGCTTGTGTTGGCGACAATATCATGAGAACAATGTGGAAAAGAGGGCTCCCAAAATGCTGTATACTGCAAAACCATGTATTCCATGTGTTTCTGGAGTCACCTTGTCAAATACATTGACAAATATGCAATCTTATCCACAAAATGGCTTTCTTAATGGCTGTTTTTGTTTTGTGTTTGGTTGTGCTCATCTAGTCTGTAACACAGAGTCTGTTAAATTTGTCAAGATGCTATTTGCTGTATTTTTGCTATTTGTGTGATTTATTTCTTGTTGTTTATGTTTTATTTAGATCCGATGGAAGTACATGGTTGTGGACGAGGGACACCGTATGAAGAACCACCACTGTAAACTGACCCAGATCCTAAACACGCACTACCTGGCCCCTCGCCGCATCCTGCTCACGGGCACGCCGCTGCAGAACAAGCTGCCCGAGCTCTGGGCCCTGCTCAACTTCCTCCTGCCCACCATCTTCAAGAGCTGCACCACGTTTGAGCAGTGGTTCAACGCCCCCTTTGCCATGACTGGAGAGAAGGTAGAGGCTATTCTGCATTTTGTACGTTTTGTGTTTTGTGACCAATAACAAACTACAAAAAGTAAAATAAATCATTCAAGGAAAAAATGTCGTACCCACACTCACCCCCGCTGTCTCCATTGAATATAAGTTACAATAATGAATCAAAAAAGAATAATACAAATACAACATTAAAGAGGATAATGTTGGCCCAAAGTATACTAGAAACTATTTCCACTCCTTAAAGAACTTGCTTTAAATGAGCAGCATGGATAAATCTGGCCAAAAGTGGTACTGCACTCTCCATAATATATAATATATATAATAACCATAATAAGTGAATAAGAGTTTTGTCAACAAGTCAACCAACACCTTTTTCACAAAGATAGAAATCCTGGTTTTATTTCTTGTTTTGTCATTAATGATTTGAGAATCAGAAGACCTTTTTTCTGCAGCCACAATTTACAATACGGTGAGTTCTGGCAACCCGGTTTACGAACTTTCTGATTTGTAAAACGATGGAGAATGGGACATCACAATGAAAACAATTTACTAATTTTGTATTTCAAATATCTCGCCTGAACTACTGTTATCAGTTAAAGATGTATTCAAAAAGAGCATGTTTTATTAATGCCTTTTGAGATACATGAAACATGAAAATCTTTCATATTGCTGTTTTAAGGAGGCCAAAAAGCAGGAGCTATATAAAATGGTAGGGCTTTGTCACAGAAGCCAGTCTTTCGAAACAAGATACCTGAAATGTAAATTAACTGACCAAATAGAAAATGACGTAGAGTGCATGAAACCTTATCCTCGGGTCTGTCTCGTGGTAGATCATGGCGATCTATCACCTGAGTTTGTCTTGGCTCTTTCTTTTTTTATGTATAGCAAAGTTCACAAACATAATTACCAGACTAACATTCTAACTAACCCTCAGCAGCTGAACTGAATCTTCATCATTGAAAAGATCAGCACTAACAATAAAACAGCAAAGTGATGGAGGCACTTTGGACAAAAAGAGACGTAAGCAGGACTCCTGTTCTTCAGACTCAAGTGTCCCCGCATGTGTATGCGTGTGCGTGCACGTGTGTAGCTCGACGCACACACACACAGCTGGTGTAGCGCTTGTGAGACACTGCTTGCGAGTCCGCGGCCAGACCGAGTCCCTGCCAGACCGAGTCCGCATTTGCGGTTCGCAGAGTGCAGGGTGAGGTTGAATGTATAGCAAAGTTCACAAACATAATTACCACACTGCTTTTGATCCAGCCCTGTTCTGGATCAAAAGCAGCTTCAGGCTTCTACATTGGGCACTTCTCCCGCACTCGCGGACAGTGAACCTCATCGTCACAGACAGAGAGCTATGACTCTGACTCTAGATAAAGCCTGACCGCGCAGATCTACCGCGGTCCATACACTTCGTTTGTGCGGCACAGGACCCTGTTATCATTTTGTGCAGGACAACGTTTTCTGTGCGCTGAGACCATGTATGTTTTATAATAAGACCCCAAAAGAACAGCGCGATTGCGCACGCATGAGGGGACAGCCCATCAGTGACATTGAAGAAGCAAAAAAATATTCATTATATAAGACAAGAGTGCTGCCACACAGAGTGGATAGTGGGAGCACTGGAAGTATTTTTTCAGCCTTTAAACCTCAGAGTTTCTCAAATGGAGTCGGGTCTGTTTCTGTGTGCAGCCTGAGTTTCCCAGTGCAGTGCACTGACAGATTAGAACATACGTAGCTGTTACATGTGTTGAATGGTGATAGATCCACAATACTTTTCTCTGATTACTCACATTTTACGAGGCTCAGGGGAAACGCGTTTCTTGACACTGGCTACAGGCTTCACTGATCACTTTTCAGAGAGCGCTCACAGTTATTATCATAGATAGATGATAGATAGAGTTTGGCGCCTTGCTATTTTAAGTGCAGGTGGAAGATGAGAGAGATGAGGGTCACGTGCTGCTGCTGTGGAGGCGAGGAGGAGGCGCGCCGTGTGAACATCTAATCATATATTAATACACTTTTAAAGGCTTTGGTTTGAATATCAATGTTAAGCACTTTTTTGAAGAGGGAATAAAAGTATCAATCATTAAAAAAATTGAGAAAAATCATGCAAACCTTCTTAGGGCGGGGCAGGTCCTGGGCCAATCAGAAAAGTGGGCGGACCTGGGACCACCCTGGCCCTAATGTGCCTACGTCACTGCTCAGCAAGTGGATTGGACCACTATGAGAGCATATTACATACAAGTAGAAGTTAATCTGAAATTGAGTTTGGGGGGATAATCTTGATAAACGTTTTCCCAGCCTCAATGTGTGGTTTTTATTTTTTTCATCTATGAAAATGAATCTCTCTATCTTAAGGTGGACCTAAATGAAGAGGAGACTATTCTGATTATCCGCCGTCTTCACAAAGTTCTTCGCCCGTTCTTGTTGCGCCGATTAAAAAAAGAAGTGGAGGCACAACTTCCAGAGAAGGCAAGCTTTTCATTCCTTACCTTAGCATAAAGAGTGAGTATTTATAAATAACATTTCAACATTCGATTTCAGGTGGAGTATGTCATCAAGTGCGACATGTCGTCCCTCCAGAGAGTTCTGTACAGACACATGCAGGCCAAGGGCGTCCTGCTCACAGACGGATCTGAGAAAGACAAGAAGGTCCGTATTTGCTTATGTTACATCTTAGTGATGTTTAATGTTCTTTATCCTGTTCTATCTGTGTGATGTCCAGGGCAAAGGGGGCACAAAGACTCTAATGAACACCATTATGCAGCTGCGGAAGATTTGTAACCACCCATATATGTTCCAGCAGATAGAGGTAAGGGAAGAACATTTCACTTTGCATTTTCAGATGATCTATATTGATTAACATTTTCTAGGAGTCTTTTTCTGAGCATTTAGGATTCTCAGGTGGAATAGTCCAGGGGTAAGTTCCTAGAGAGCATTGCCTTTTGTTGATCTTGAACATACTATGTTTTGATGCTGCTCTCTGCCCTGACCAGGGCTGACCTGTACCGCGCTTCTGGAAAGTTTGAAGTGTTAGATCGTATCCTGCCCAAACTCAGAGCCACAAACCACAAGGTGCTGCTCTTCTGTCAGATGACCACTCTGATGACCATCATGGAGGACTACTTTGCATATCGCACCTTCAAGTATCTGCGCCTAGATGGTGATTTCTGTTGTTTGTTGATTAATACTGTATGCTAACTGATCTTCTGATAAATAAACTTTCTGTTCCGTTTTTGTAGGAACCACAAAGGCTGAAGACAGAGGAATGCTGCTGAAGACATTTAATGACCCAGAGTGCGAGTACTTCATCTTCCTCCTCAGTACCAGAGCAGGAGGCCTGGGCCTCAACCTGCAGTCTGCCGACACTGTCATTATATTTGACTCAGACTGGAACCCTCACCAGGTGCCACTTTACCTGTCTCTTTTTCTGTATGTCTTTGAGTTGATAAATATTGAGAAAGATTTTACCAGCATGTGTTGTACAGGATCTGCAGGCCCAGGACCGGGCCCACAGAATTGGTCAACAAAACGAGGTGCGTGTCCTGCGCCTCTGCACTATCAACAGTGTGGAGGAAAAGATTTTAGCTGCTGCCAAATACAAACTGAACGTGGACCAGAAGGTGATCCAGGCTGGCATGTTCGATCAGAAGTCCTCCAGCCACGAGCGGAGAGCCTTTCTGCAAGCCATTCTGGAGCATGAGGAACAAGACGAGGTCTGGGGTCAGGAACAGTGTCTCCGCATAAATGTGTGTGTGCACCAACAATACACAGCATATTAACAATGCTTTTATTATTCTGCTGCCAATGTTTGTTTATTGTATTCAGGAGGAAGATGAAGTGCCAGATGATGAGACCGTCAACCAGATGATTGCGAGGAGCGAGGAGGAATTTGATTTATTTATGGTGAGCCACTGCAAACGCTCATTCTCTAAAGCAGTGGTTCCCAAAGTGGGGGTCCCGACCCCCCGGGGGGTCGCGGGAACCCCTGGGGGGGTCGCAAGATGATTTCCACACACAAAAAAAAGATTTTTTGCTCAAAAAAAAAAAATCTTTTTTTTTGAGCAAATATAAAGCCCATAAATATTTATTTAGCATTTGATTTGTTTCAAAAGGACTACTTGTTAAATTGTGTTTGGAGACTATAATATATTTTAATAACGTTAGTAATTTTGTCCCAGTCATTGCAGCGTCAATCAAAATCATCACGTAACACAGCTCACATCATGCGCAGCGGCAAAGCGTGTCCTGCTGTTGTTTGCTAAAACTAAAGGTGTTTGGAGGCTACAAATAAATAATACCTGCTTTAAAATGAAACGTGGTTAATATCCACAACAGAAAAACCCGGAGGGGGAGAAAAGTCACTTGTATCAGGGGTCAGGCTGATGGTGCGAAGAGAGGGAGGGAGGGCAAAGGAGGGAGAGAGGGCAGCGGAGGGAGGGAGGGCGGAGGGAGGGACAGCGGAGGGAGGGAGGGAGGGAGGGAGGGAGGTAGAACAGCGCAGTAACTTTGGAAAGAGAAGCCGCGGGGATGAACCGCATAAAGTAACAGCAGAAAGCGGCCGCCCGCTTTTAATGTGCGGACCTCTTTACCGCTGACTCCGGAAAGCCGGCCCACTTTACCGCGGTAGGAGAACAGTGAGGGCGAGCCGCAAGAAATGCGCTCCACTTCTGCTGAGGAGGGAGCCCACCAAGCCCATCACTGTGTCACTACATGAGTAAAAATATGCAAGCCTCCTTTTTTGGGCTGGACAGTGCAGCTCGGTAGTGGCGTGAGTCTCTAGAAAGCGTTACTCCGTATCAAGGAAATACATGCTCATTTCATGTGACGAAAGGGCTGTTGGGGGGGGTCGCGGGTTAGCAGGGCCTTTATGATGGGGGTCGCGGGCTAAAAACTTTGGGAACCCCTGCTCTAAAGTTCAACTGTGCATAGACAGGACCGTTGGTAGTTGATTTGTGTTAGTTCTCTCAATGATGTGGTGTTTTGTTTCTTCCGATACAGCGCATGGATCTTGACCGGCGCCGAGAAGAAGCCCGTAATCCTCGCCGTAAACCGCGTCTGATGGAGGAAGACGAGCTCCCCACCTGGATCATGAAGGACGACGCAGAGGTGGAGCGCCTGACCTACGAGGAAGAGGAGGAGAAGATGTTTGGCCGGGGGTCCAGGCAGCGGAAAGAAGTTGACTACAGTGACTCACTGACTGAAAAACAGTGGCTCAAGGTCAATAGTAAAGCCTGTAAGAGTCAAATACAGACTTCTGGTCTTTTGTCAATGGAAATGTTTATCACAGGCAATAGAGGAAGGCACCTTAGACGAAGTGGAGGACGACGTAAAACATAAAAAACCAACACGCAAAAGGAAGAGGGAGCATGACCCGGATCTGTCTGGACCCTCATCCTCCGGGAGCCGCGGCCGCGGGGATGATGACTGTAAGCGGCAGAGGAGGAGAGGGAGACCTCCTGTTGAAAAGCTCTCTCCAAATCCTCCAGCTCTCACCAAGAAGATGAAGAAGATTGTAGACGCGGTCATCAAGTACAAAGACAGGTACTCTTTTATTCTCTCCATTTGTAAGAATAACATGTAGCACAGGACTTTGAGCTCCTGTGGTTCCCCCTGTGGTTCCTCCTGTGGTTCCTCCTGTGGTTCCCCCTGTGGTTCCTCCTGTGGTTCCTCCTGTGGTTCCCCCTGTGGTCCCTCCTGTGGTTCCTCCTGTGGTTCCCCCTGTGGTTCCCCCTGTGGTCCCTCCTGTGGTTCCTCCTGTGGTTCCCCCTGTGGTTCCCCCTGTGGTTCCTCCTGTGGTTCCCCCTGTGGTTCCTCCTGTGGTTCCCCCTGTGGTCCCTCCTGTGGTCCCTCCTGTGGTTCCTCCTGCAGTGCGAGCGGGAGGCAGCTGAGTGAAGTATTTATCCAACTTCCGTCTCGGAAAGAGTTGCCAGAGTACTATGAACTTATTCGCAAACCTGTGGATTTCAGAAAGATCAAGGTAAATTTTACATAATTTCATATTTTAATCCTTAACAAAATGTTTATGTAACTGTATGTTTCAAATTGTAGGAGAGGATCAAGGGCCATCGATACCGCACTCTGGCCGACCTGGAGAGAGACGTCATGCTCCTGTTTCAAAATGCTCAAACCTTTAATCTGGAGGGCTCACTCGTGAGAACCACACACACAATGACTTTAGAAAACATATTGTTATGTGCCCCAGGATTGCTATGGAAAGGTTGTTGGAAACATCTTACTTTTCAAAGTATTTTTTCTATATTCAATAGTTGTCACTACCATTTTGTGAGGGCGGTTAGAGTAGCTCACTGTCTCCCTTTATAATTATGTTTTCTTTTTTCCATCATGAGAGCAGATTTACGAAGACTCGATTGTCCTTCAGTCAGTGTATACAAGTCTGAGGCAGAAGATCGAGAAGGAGGAGGACAGTGAGGGAGAGTACAGCGAGGAAGATGACGATGACCAAGACGAAGGATCTGAATCTGAAAGTAAGATACTGAATGTGTACTTTTAACCAATAGTTAACTGACTATAGATTACTTTAAATGACTTTAATACCCAGCTCGTTCAGTCAAAGTGAAGATCCGCTTGGGGAGGAAAGACAAAGGCAGTGACAAAGGAAAAGGACGCAGTCGACGACCTGGGCGAACTCGAGCCAAACCAGTGGTGAGCGATGATGACTCTGATGAAGAGCAAGAGGAGGTATACACTGACCACTGATTTAAGTTGAAAAAGTCTTATTTCCATTGAGTAAACCTTCTATTGTCTCTGGTCTTAAAGGAGCGGAGCCCCAGTGCCACTGAAGATGAGACTTAGCTCTACTGTGATAAAATGGTACTGTATTTCATAGAGCTTGCATTCATAGTGGGCCGGGCATCGTGACGTGGGCTGTGTCCACTTGTTAAAAATCATAATAAAGAGTAATTCTTATTGCAGTAGTCATCTACAGATTAATGATCACTGCACTTTGAAGTTAAAGACATGATTACAGTGAAAATAATACGCATTGTGATTTGGAAATATTTTTTAATACTTTCTATTAGATTTAAACAAATTCTATCAGTCCACAAGGGAAATTATTGTCAAACAATAGTGCTAAAGCTTTACTAACTGTGTGCTAGACAAATGATTAATTACAATAATTCTTTCTCCTGTTATCAGTAGCAGTAATGTTTGTTTAATTAGTTGTTGCAGCGCTCACATGGAGTGTGACCGGTACAGGGTAGAGCTGTGTTTCCACAGTTTGCAACAGTGTGTTGCAACAGTTTTGTGTCGTTCAGCCTCTGGAGCAGCTGTAATTACTGATGTGTGGACATCACATATTTGTGACCAGTGCTTCGTTTGACCTGTGGTTTTTGGATACTAAGAAGCAAGTTGAGCAACTCCATTTGACTGAATGTTTTAGGTTGATCCTAAGTCATTATGTACGCAACTGTATATAAAGTATGTCCACTTTTCTGCTGCTTCTCTATCATTATTCAATCCCAACTGCTGATTGTACATGGGACTCATTTTCTTACAGTTTTATCATTAGTTACTTCCCTGTTTTGTGGTGATTTCATAAGATTTATGAGCTGTTTGATGTACATCAGAACTCTATTATTTATTAATTTCCAAGAAAATGGCCAGAGAGACAGTGGCTCTTCTCTGTTGTGAAAGGCTGATGGTGTTTGATATTTTATAGTCACTTTTAGATAATGTTGTCGCACGTGTGTGCAGCGCAGCTTCAGCACTGTACCTTTTAATTGACATAAAGAAAAAAGAGCATTCAACCAAAGCATTCATGTTTTCTTCAAAACTTCTATCTGTCTGTTCTGTTGTAGTGTGTTAATGTTTCTGCAGCTCAAGTGTATTAAAGCATCACAATTCACACAATAATAACGCTTTGGTTTGCATTTGTCTGGATCTGTAGTACTTTTCTCCTCCACTGAGAGGAGACATGACACTGTCCCCTCGTACACCACCAATTAACTACTAAATATAAGAAGACATTTTCTTTTCTTCTTTCATTGATATCTTAGTTCATTTGTACATTATGGCCGTATACATTTGCTCCTATACACAAACTCTAAACATGTTGTCGCTGCTTCTTTATTATTGTGACCTCAGTAAGGTCAAATGTAAACATGGGGGTTTTTTTGGGGGCAAGTGCAGAGTGTGGTGCAGACCACACTGAGGCCTGTGTCCGTGTGGGGCAGCTACACACTTTCTCAGAACTAACTCCCAAGAATCTAAAACCATAAATATGTTTTGCAGTTGGCTATTCAACGTACTGTGGCAAAGTAGAAACATGTTTACAGCAGTTCTAGAATAGTAAATGTGGGCTAGCATTTATTCATATTTCATCATAAAGACATTTTATTTATTGTCATGTTTGCTTGGATGCTGTAGGTCACTTGAACATTCTTGGGTTCATCTTTATGAAGAACAGTAAGATTTATACCAATACAGCACAAACATCAAAGGAGGGTTCGACACAGGAACATTGGTCGTTATCTCAACAAATCAGTCCTTGTGCTGAGCTTTTGTGACTCACTGAGTATAATGCGTCCTGTTTTCTTTACTCACTCTTTTTGCTTGTGGCAGGTCCTTAACTCAGTGCTCAGTCAGACAATGACAACTGTGATACTAGTGATGTGTCCAGATCAATATGCAACCCTGCCACTACGTCAGGATTCTCCAAATGCCTCTGACAAACCTCTCTGCCTTCACCTTTCACACGTCATGCTCTTTTCAGAACCAAGACTTGATAAGAACATTTTCTTCCATTGTGACTCAAAGTAAATCTGCATTCACTGCAGCAGGAACAGGTCCTCACATTGTATAATATCTCACCATACTTAGAAAATAAAGTTGACCAAGAACAATGTAGATATAGTGTGGGTTATTAATAAGTTAGGCCCAAAGGGGTGTCTAATCCTCTTTCTGCAAACATTTCAAAAATAACATGACATTTAAAACATCGTCAAGGAATAGGCCAGAAATGTGTGCATTTGTTTTGATGAAATTAATGAGATGATCTGCCTAATACGGCAGATCATCTCATTAATTTATCTTCTATTGTTCAAGATTAAAATTAAGAGATCCTTTATTCGTCCCACAGCGGGGAAATTTCAGTGTTGCATCACAAGTTACAGAACAGTAGTACACACAGCATAGGATTAATGGACAATAGCTGTACTAATTAAGATAAAACAAAATCTCTAACTCAAGAAACAAGTATAACATCTCAATCTTGAACACAATAATAATAATAAAAATAATATTAAAGTACTGTATTCTAGTGCAAGCAATATGTAGTTCTATGTACATCTGTACATCTGTACATTAGCAGCAGTATGTTTACATACATATACATACATATGTACATTAGCAGCATGAGGCTCTGGACATTTATGTTATCATAAATATGCTCATTTGCTTAAGTTTGACTGTACACATTTCCTGTTGATGCGCAGTGATATGTATCTAAATATATATATATACATAGGCTTACATAGGCATAGTGACTCCTCCTCTTGTCCAACCAGGGCCTTCCTCTCATTTAAAACATCAGACCACTGTGCGTAGCGCCGCCTCCCGCAGCTTCCCTGTAGAAAACGCGCTCCGTTCCTCAATCCCGTACTGTCATCTCCGTGTGAAACGTCGCGGAAGTGTGCCAGCTTTTTCCTCTTCACGCGGTTTCCACTTTCAGGCACCAAAGGACCATGTTTGGGTCTCGGAGAGGACTTGACGAGCTGCTGCTGTGGTGCGGCTGTCTGCTGATGCTTCTACACAGAGTGGCAGGTAAAGACAATATTGCTTTTTTGTTGTATCACTCTGTATTTACATCAGCTCCTGAGAATGTGTGAATCTACGTCATTCAGCCTGCAGGTGCATTCACACGATGGCTGTACTAATATAAACTTTCTTTTAATAAATAACACGTTTTTATTTAGAGATTGCAAGTAAAATGTTGTGAATTAATCGGCTCACAAAATGTTGTCTTCCTCTTTATGATAAAACAATAGCATCTTTTGCATACTTGTAAGATCCCTGCGAGTCACTATTTGACTGAGAGTGGAAAAACTGAGTGAGGGCGGTCCTCGTTTTACTTTTTATCTCAAAAAAGACGGATCTAAACATGTGAGGGAAGCCAACATACATGCATGTAAAAACTAGTGATGGAGAGCTGGGAACTAGTTGGATGGATGAATATTTATTTTGTATTTATTTTTTACATATAGTTACATTTGCAGTGGTCTGAGAATTGCGTACCCAAGCTTTAAATCTATGGCATTTCTCCTACACGCGAAGATGGGTGTGATACTGTCCAAATGCCAAACATGCCTGACAGTTGCTTGGTTTTGACGTTTCCTGTATGAATGAATGGGGTCTCCGCACGGGCCGCTGATTGGCTGCGTGCTTCCGGAGAGTGCTGAGCAGCCAATCACATGCAGCCTTTTGAGCTGGCGGCTTCAAGTTTCGTTCGATGTGAGAAAGTAGAAACGGGCTGCAGTCAGTTCCTCTGGTAACTATATCTGCTCAGAGTTTGTCAAATGAATTGCAATGAATTAAAACAATAATTTCTCAAAGTAAATGACCTTCAGAAAGTCAGATCAACATGAACTATTAAGGGACTTTGGTGGTAGCTAAATGGGTTCATGTGTAAATTAAATGCAAGAACTTTTTGTAAGGTAACCATAAATGTGCCAAAAAAATGAAGATTGGTGTTGAGTTGCATCAGTGAACCACATTTATTTTGTTGGTTGGTTCTCATATTCTGCACAAGTTTTGTCTAGTTTGTCTGATCATTCAAGTAAATCAGTTCTAAGCCAGGACTGGTTTTAGATGGGACTACATTGTTTTTGTGAAGAAGGTCAATGTGGATTAAAACTACCGATTCAACAAATATGTAGCCCAGATTGAGAAACATTTAATTCATTAAATGGATTTAAAAACTCGGCAACAGTTTCCCCTATAATCCATGTGGAATGTGTGGTGTGTACACATTTGTAAGTAAAAATGGCTTGAAGAGGACTCCTCCTTGTACTTTCTGCATTGATGCAAGAGATACCTGGCATTCTTATTCATACACACAGGTACAGGTGTGGTTTACTGAATCACACCCTGGGTTTAACCTGGTCAAGATTAATCAAACAAATCAAAGTAAAGTTAAAGGCTGTCGTACAATACAGTTAAACTGACCTTGACTCTATTGAAAGTAATAATCCTTTGCTCATTCATTCAAGTTGTGGTGGTTTTGACCCATTTATTGATTCCACTCGTTGACTTAAGAACGGGCTTTTAAAGGGCATGGAATTAACCTACTTTCCACTGTTTCTACTGTATTCTGCCTCTTACAGTCGGGGGACAAAGTAATTTCCTCATTTACAGGAAGTGGGTAGCTCATGAAGTTTCAAGGCTGATTCTCAGCCTCTTGAAGCAGCTGGGGGAGTCAGCTTTGGAAACTCTCGTGGAAGAAACTGTGTGTCATCACACAGTAACCTCAAGACTGGGGATTTCGGGAAGCACGAAGTGTTGGAGAAGTCTAGTTCTGCAAAATCCTGGTCACTTTATTAATCAATGGTCTGGCTGTAATTTCAGTATGTGTCACAATGGTGGGACACTTCATAGGTTTAGTGGTTTTGGTTTCTGTGGTGATGCTTTTGGAAGGAAACGCCTTGGGACCAATCAGCGACTGGTGGTGTGATGGTACAACTCCTCCCTGCTATTGTCTTAATGAGATATATACTTCTTCAGGCCCCAGGTCACACTGCAGAGAACAATGCTCAGGTGTTGGCACATCCACAGCCTCAACCTGCTCAACTCGCTGTGACGTCATCAGTCACAGAGCCGGTCCTGGGACGACTTTGCCTTTAGCACGGGTCACTGTACCATCAGCAGCTTCTGACCATATGGAAGATCACTGTTACAGAGCAGCGTAATTTTAAATTTTTCAATTCAACTTTATTACGGACTCAAGGTCCAAAAAAGACAGCGACATCACAAACAACATTAAACTACAAACAAATAAATTACACAGTCCCTTTAAAAAGACAGCTATACCAGTGCCTCCACATTAGCGACTGATAGCGAATGGCACTACAGGTGACATCAACCAATGAACCAATGACTGTATTAACAGACTTATTCAAACGGCATATAAAACGGTACATAAGCGTCCGCAGTGTGGCTTGCAGCGTGTTTATTCCAGCAGTGACAAACATCTCACTCGCACTGGTCCATCTCGGCCTCCTGAGAAGCACACGCAGAGCGTCGTTATAGGCCACCTGCAACCTTTGGAAAATAATGCCAAGCGTTCTATTGTTATGTCTATTATATTAAATATTTACTGATTCAGAGTCAAATTCTACCATTGTGGAAGGATGAGACAATTAATTGGGGGAGAACATGTATTTAGTAACGAAATACTTTTTAATGCAGGTATTTAATCTTCTGTAACATTCTGTGGTTCACTCATGGAATTCTTTCATGCTCATTTGCATAATGTAAATATGCCCTGTAGGTCTAGAACAAGTTGGTTTTTGCACCCATTGCAATGCTTTTTTGTTAGTTATAATATGTCTTTTTCTTTTCTAAAATATCTGAATTACAAAAAGCACAGATGGAAATATAAACGTATTCCAAATACAGTTACTCAAAATGGTGTTCTAAATACTGACCCAAATTATAAAGAAAAATATACTAATTGTATACTATATTTGTGACAAATGTTTGTACATTTTTCAATCTGATTAAAATATTGGCCAATTGTTCAATAATATATGGACAGAATATACTTTGTTGTCTGTACCTCTTCTTTGCAATAATGGGAATGTTTCCCTTTTGTCTAAGGGGATAAGATATACCTTTTATTTGTCTCGCAGTGGAGAAATTTCACACGTTTTTTTTAATGACAAATTGTCTCTTAATTCTGTTTTTAGATTATTTGGTTTAGTTTGATAACAACAGTATATTGTGCATCAATGTTGATCTGCCTCGGACCTGCTTAGTGCACAGAAGACTCCATCATATTTCAGAGAGCATCATGTTTCAGAAGTGACGCAGTGGTACAATCTGCCTCTCGCTCATGACGAAGCTTATTATTCTACTGTATATTATCTACTTTTGACTCACACATCGTTAACAATGTTTGTTCCTCTTATCTTAATTATCACACTAACTTCAGTAGCTATTGATTCCTCACCTGTCGTATGTGTAATTTTCTGTAGAATATTAACTCCCCTCGAGGCCAAGGGGTTTGTGTGTCGAGGCTTATGTTACCAGATCTCTGTCATGAATAGTAGAGTGTAACCCGAATACTGTGATCCAATGTTATGTCAAATCAACGTAAGCCATGCACATGTTGAAGCATCAGTAAGTTATAGAGTTGTGTATTTTGATTGTTCGCAGACGCTGCAGCCGACTGTCGTTCAAACCAGCTGAAGTGCGGTAATGGGAGGTGTGTCACGCTCAGGTGGATCTGCGACGGAAGAGACGACTGCGGAGACGGGACCGACGAGCTCCCAGCCACTTGCGGTCTGTACTGCTGCACCTGTTCATACAATAACCCACCCGTGTATACGTGTTGTGTACAGTTCAAAATGACTGCTTAACATGTGCACTTAGTTAATGATTACATGTGTTTATGGCGCTGGTTTGTTGGTTATGACTCACATTTGCTTTTATAATCACAGCAAACAAAAACTGTTCGGAATCGGAGTTTAACTGCGGCCTTCCCCTGAACCAGTGTATACCAGGAAGCTGGCATTGTGACGGTAACGCCGACTGCAAGAACGGGGCTGATGAGAAAAACTGCAGTAAGTTTAGTCTAAGGATGTATACTTGTACAGTATATTTAACATACATGTTAACATGCCTGTTAGGACTGGGTGTCACGCATAGATACTCCACTTTCTATTCAATATGATACAATATATTTCCGAGCAATTTGATACATTTCAGTAATACTTGTTTTTTGGGGTGAGCCTCATATCAAAATTGTTGTTTAAAGTTGGTTGGATGCCCAGGCTGCATTTTGTCTGCCTTTTAAAATATGAGATATTATAACGGAACTTGAAACTCAGTTTTGTAACAAGTAAAAGCGATGTGTAAAAATCATTTGGAGCAGTTAAATCTTTCAGATGCAATGGACAACTCTTAACCATGAATAGCACATGACCAAGATCTATAGTGTAAGAAAACAAGTTGTCATGTTGTGATTGCCATTACTGCTTAAACAGATACAAGTAAATCAGAGCAGCAGAGATATGGTTGGATTGGCGGGCTCCCTCTTGCCAAGCGGCCTCAACACCTCGTTTTTAACGCACCACACAGCAAGCATATACACTGTTTTTAATGCACTGCACTATGTAGGGTCTACATACATAACCATGTTAACATTAAATAAACAGCTTTGGGTAAAAATGGCAGTGACAACAAGACCTAAGAACATCATTGGTGCTAAATCAGCATTTAAAATTACTATTCATGGAGACGAGTGTAAATTGTATATCTGAGAGAAATATGCCTGTATATCATTTGCACTCCTGTAAAGAGAAAAGTTTGTAACAAGGGGTAGGAAGCATAAGTTTCACTTCTACCTACTCCTTTTCGAATTGTGCATATATATGTTTATATGTTTCCTCTTTTCTTTTTTTTTTTTTTGTATTGCGCATGTAATTCGAAATAAACACACTACTACTACTACTACTACAATAATTTTGCGTTGTCGTTGGCAAATTCTTCCCAAACTAAGATACAGTAAGCTAACTACTCTTCTCGATCTTGAAACTCAAATTAGAATGTAGCATTTTTTTTTACACAATTATGATGGACTCAGGCTTTGTCTGGCAAAACAAAACAAAAAAAATCTGTTACCCAGCCTAAAAATATAGTTTATTTTACTTTATTAATCCTCTGTTTTGCCCCTATGTGGTCAGCTGCCAAAATATGCAAAGACAACCAGTTCAAGTGCACAAACGGCGAGTGCATCTCCAAGGCGTTCGTGTGTGACAAGGATAACGACTGCTCTGACGGTTCAGACGAGTCGTCCTGCCCCAAGCCCACCTGTGGCCCCAACTCCTTCCAGTGCAACAACACCAAGTGCATCCCGTTGCTGTGGCGATGTGACGGGGATGCGGACTGCGAGGACGGCTCCGATGAGGAGGCGGGGACGTGCGCGGGACAAGAGCCGGAGAAGAAGCAGTGCGGCGTGCATCAGTTCCAGTGCGCGGACGGCGAGTGCATTCACCGTATCTGGCGGTGCGACGGTGGTGCGGACTGTGGCGATGAATCTGATGAAGTCAACTGCAGTAAGTCATGATGTTAATATAATTTTAATGCAAAGGATTGACCCATTTTTTTGGACCAATATTTTACTAAACTTTTAAAATATCGGATAATTCAAACCTTGTTCTTAGGCCGCTATACTGCCATGGTATACATAATTTTATAGATGGATAGAAGATTTTCTCAGATTAGCAACCACATCATTAATATTACTCAAGCCAAAAAACAATCAACTAAAATTACAAGAACATTTCTACAACTAATTGTGCTCATACTAAAATGGAATAATAAGTAGTAATGAGTTCATATTATCTACATAGAGTAAAAGCGCTAAACTAACCACAGATGCAAAGGATAAGCTCTAAAATGCTGAATATATTGGTATTCACATGTTCCACTTATTCCAATCGATCCATCAAGGTTATCTGCAACTGCCTCTAAGAATGTCCTACTTTCCAACTAGCGTGGCTATAATAAGAATAAAAAACAGCCTTTTTAAATCGTCCATCAGCGAGACTAGTTAATTCAACCTCTGATGTTTTGGATTACTATTTGACATATTTTTATTCCTAATTTCTATTGCTAATTTCCTAATTTCTATTCCTGTGTCAACTGTCTAATACGGATGACACGACATTTCTACTCACATGTTTCTCTTTGTATCTTTAAACCTAGGATTGCTAATCACAAGTAAATTTAACTATTAAAAAAATCTATCTAACGAGGGTCTGGCTTTACGAGTGAATCTTCAGTTTATTTTTAATTTTCTAATTTTTTATCTTTAATTAATTTGTAATAATCTCATCGTTCCCCTGTTGCAGCTCGGCCCACATGTCGCCCTGACGAGTTCCAGTGCAACGACGGTGCGTGTGTTCATGGGAGCCGTCAGTGCAACAAAGTGTTTGACTGCAGAGACCAGAGCGACGAGGCTGGCTGTGAAACAGGTGATTAAACTGATAGTTGTTTTATTTTCTAGACTATACATTGAGAAAGGACTTTTGAATAATGGCATCGTTGTGCAAATAACTAAGGCCTTCTCCTGTCCATAGAAAATGAATGCGAGGGGCCCACAAAGTTTAAATGTAAAACTGGGGGGTGCATCGGTGCAGAGAAGGTGTGTGACGCAAGGAACGACTGCAAAGATGGCTCCGATGAACCAGCGGAGTGTAGTATGTATTTGTTTTGTAGACACTTAAAAAAGCGTTAAAACAAATATCATCCTTTTAATCCTTTTGTAAACCAACAATGCGAACGTTTATTGTTACAGATCAGAATGAATGCTCCACGGAAAATGGCGGCTGTTCGCACATTTGTAACGATCTGAGAGTTGGCTTTAATTGCTCATGTCCAGGAGGATACAGTCTGGACACAGATGAAAAGACATGCAAAGGTAAAGCCTAGTACATGAAATTATTTATTTAAGCAAAAATCTCATCACCTGTGATCTTTGCAGATATCGATGAGTGCGTCACACCAGACACATGTAGCCAAATTTGCATCAATTTTGAGGGTGGCTACAGGTGTGACTGTATGCAAGGCTACGAAATCGACCCTGCAACGAGCACATGCAAAGCCGTATCAGGTGGGGATTGAGTTGTATGTGGAGGCAGATGCTCTTGTATAACAACCTTAGATTAAACCAATACTTTTCTGCTGATCTCCAGGATCTGGCCCCACACTCTACTTCACCAGTCGACACGAGCTGAGACTGATGACAGTGGACCGCAAAGAATACATCCGCCTGATCCCACAGCTCAAGAATGCAGTCGCTCTGGATGTGCACATACCCTCAAATACCATCTTTTGGTCAGACCTCTCCCTCAAGACAATTTTCAGGTAAAACAACCTCAGCTATGTCTATCCATCACTTTTCTTAATCAACCAAGCGACCCAACCGATTAAATGTTTTATTATGTGCAAATTATACAAAACACACAATAGTATCCCAAAGTTGGTTTTCATATGTGGAGCTGTTAACAAGTGATTTCCATAGAGCACAAGTTTAGGGACAGCAAAGTAACAATATGTTTACCTAGTCTAATGTACATAACTCTACTTTCCCCTCCCCTCAGCACCCGCATAGATACTGCCAGTGACGCTTCAACTCACACTGAAGTGATTGGCAGTGATATTGAAGCCCCAGAAGGGATTGCAGTAGACTGGATTCACGGCAACATTTACTGGACAGACAGTGAATTGAAAACCATCTCTGTGGCAACCACTGATGGAAGCAAGAGGAAAACCCTGATCTCCGACCATTTGGAGAAGCCCAGAGCCATTACAGTGGACCCAGTCAATAAGTAAGAACATCAGCTTTTGAATTACGCTTACGCATTACGAATTGTGATTGGAATTACATATACGTGTGTTCTCTCTCTAGCTTCATGTATTGGACTGACTGGGGGGAAGAGGCTAAGATTGAGAAGAGTGGGTTGAATGGAGGAGACCGCTTGGCCATAGTGACGGACAACATTATGTGGCCCAACGGCATCACTCTTGGTAAATACAAGCGTGTTATTGATAGATAGATAATATTTATTTCAAACCTGTACAATCCTCACTGCAAAAAAATCAACATAACAGACAGATATAAAAGTGCATGGTTTGAAAAGGGGGTGGATGGAGCAAACGCTTATAGGATTCCAAACCCCCTCACACATTCAACACAAAGTACAGTACAAGAACCGTATACATTCAGGCTCATTCATGAACAGCTGTAAACTTGTACAGTACATAGAGTGAAACAATATGACATGACCAGAGACAAGACAACACACACCCACGCACACACACACAACACTCCAGACAGAGGCCCAAACACTCTCTGACCCTACACCGACATTGCCGTGTTTTTGAGCACACTACCAATTTTAGCCCGCTCACTCGTGTCTCTGCATTTCCAATCAGACATGGTTAACCAGCGTTTGTACTGGGTCGACTCCAAGCTGCACACACTCTCCAGTGTCGATGTCAGCGGGGGGTCAAGACACATGCTCATTTTTGACGAGAAGCACCTTTTACATCCCATGTCTCTGGCAGTTTTTGAGGTTCGTACCTGTTGTTCCAAAATTCCATTGCTACTTCTATAGTGTGTAATCATTCAGTCGACTGTGGAAGGACGATGCAGTATTGAACTACCTGTACTTTAATCTTTTTTTCATGTTCAGGAGAAGGTATTCTGGACGGACATTGGAACTAGTGCGGTGTACAGTGCTAATCGCTTGACCGGAGGAGACATCACAGAGCTGGCAAGGGACCTCAATCATCCTGAAGACATTGTCGTTTTTCACACACTCAAGCAAACTAATGGTATGTTCATCTTTGTGTTAATAGTGTTGACTGAACAATGTTAGCTAAATTAAAGTTGTTTTTTAAATTATTTTTTTAAGACTTACCCTAACCCTAAATCTATATACATATTGCAATTTCAACAGACCTAGTTGCTTTTCTTGTTGTTGTTGGAAAAAAGGGTGACATTTATTGAACAGGAAGTTTCATTACAGCTTCCTAGCAACATTGGGATTTTATAGCTCCTGAGTTGACTGTGTCGCTTGTGTAATCTGCCTTTTGTGGGTTAATTTACAGCCCGGCCCCATGTACTCTGTAACTTTTTAACTAAAATTGTGATTGGGTTTGTGATACCTTTGTTTGAACGTCTCTTTGCATTGTTGTTCAGTAGCGTCATACATTCTCTCCGTGCCATTTATTAAAGGTTCAAACTGGTGCCAAACGAGTGAGCTACTGAATGGAGGCTGCGAGTTCCTGTGCCTCCCTGCTCCTCGGATCAACAGCCGCTCGCCCCAGTACACCTGCGCCTGTCCGGATCACTCCGCCATGGCCGCTGATAACAGGAAGTGTGTCGCAGGTATATTTTACAACCCGGTTTTTGAAATGAATAAAACGACACGATAAGAAATCCCTTTATCTAACTCAACATGTTTTTCATTTTTAGTTCAACCTCCTGTGACCAGTCCTGCAGCAATCCCTAATGTTCCCACCACTCAAGCACCAACGCAGCCTTCTACTACTACTACTACTACTACTACTACAACTACAACTACTACCACTGCTGCAACTCCCAATGCTTCAACAATACTTGAACCAGCTCAAGGTAGAAGATGTTCTGTCATATAGTTATTGGCCTAAACCTAATTTACTTTTTGAATCAACTTTTGATCTCTCTAAATGTTGGCTCTTCAAGTGCCAGAGTCTTGTCCAAAATCTTTAGTGAAATTGGCATGAATGGACAATGCTGATCCGTTAGCTCTATGAAGCCTGGTGAAGGAAGTTTGGCTCCCATACACTTTGATTATCATTAAAACGTAAATCTTTCCCACTTTGTAACCATTTATGTCACACTCAGCATTCACTTTAAATTTTCGAATGATTTTGGGTTTGGCTAAAGCCAGTAGCTGGTTGAATGAGCGAGGCCTCACTCCTGATTGGCCGTTTGGTTGCTGGGTAGTTGCTATTCGAGAACATGGAGCTCAAGAGTCTACTCAAGAGTCGGCTCAAGTTCAAGGAAAACGCTTGTACGTCAGCACTCAGTCCGTCCACTCCTTTATACGTGCTATGGGTGGGGCCCAGAAACAGAACATTAGTCGGAGCTCCACCCTGACTACTAAAAAGGGGAATTGTAGATAAAAATGAAATGAGTTGGCTCCTATTAGAAATTCTGATACTTTGTTATTATAAACGGGTTTATCGGTACCTGAGTGGATTTATATTATCAACATGGAATTAACACTTTTTATATAACTTTTTTTTTGGAAATATGCTTCAGTCATTTGATTTGAACCTGTATTTATCTTAAATGTGTTTGAAAAAGTCTCTAACAATGGATTTTTGACTAATATTTTAACAAGTGGTAAAATGGTGGTTATAGCCAAAGATAAGTGAAATGTTGAACTACTTTTGGCTGATTTTGTGTTTTTTGTGTTTTTGTTTTTTTTCAATTTAGTGAATCACAAATTGTCTGGATTGCCCACTGAAGACAAGCCTTCCCATCCAGTCGGCGCATACATAGCTGTGCCCCTATGTAAGTAATTATGAAAACGCAGCAGCATTATCTGATGAAATCGCCTCACTAACGGGTTTCCATTTCCCCTCAGTGGTAATGTCACTGCTGATCTTTGGGGCAGTGCTGCTATGGAGAAACTGGCGTCTGAAAAACACAAACACCATCCATTTTGTCAACCCAGTGTACCAGAAAACCACAGAAGACGAGATGCACATTTGTCAAAACTCCACCCAGGGCTTCGTCTATCCAGAGGTAATGTCACTTGTTTATTCATCAACCATTACTACACTGGCCTGTTCAGCTACAACTGGATTTTACTCTTATTATTATTAAAAAAATATATTGTCAGGCAATTGATAAAATATATAAGCTTTCACATTTCCAGGGGTTTGATCATTTTAAATCCTCTGAAAAGGATCTAATATTACTGAATTGTATATACAGTAACATTATTGACAAGGTCCAGATAAGAAAGACATCACAAAAACAATAATCATTAAAAAAAAAATAAGCATACATATTTACAGCAGACTACTGTACCAGTGACACTGATGTAAATAATAAAACATTGGAAGAGTATAATGTGAGAGGATGACATACTTTCCCCTGCATATTTGATTATCTATTAAATACCTTTTCATAAGAATGTCGATTTTATAACCAATGCAAAGTCATTCTTGTATCATGTTCAGCGGTTGGTGTGCCACATGGTTTTTGTCACTGAAAAAGGAACACTGCTCAATCTCAGCTGTGAAAGGGGAATTGTTGACACCCAAAATGTAGTGGTCCTTCTACCTTCAATAGACCCTATCCCCAGACTCAGAACTACAGTATATCCCCCTTTCTATATCTCTGTGAAATGTTGGACTTTGAGTTTGATCTTTGTCTGTGAAGAGGTTGTTCCCACTTATGATTAGAGTAAATGAGTCATCAGAGTTTAAAACTACAGCACTTGTTTGTTACAGGCTATATACAGACAAGAACAGTGATCGCATTATGGTAGAACAAACAAAGGACAATGTAGAAAATGGTAAAGGAAACATTTTATTGCACAAACCAGAGTATTGCACATGCCCTGACTGTCCTGATATCACACCGTCCTCTATTGCACAGCCCATATTGCACGTATTACAAATAATGTAAAATGCAAAGTGTATAATTGGTTGTTCTCCGCATTCACTAACTACTACTTTCTGCGCAGAGGACAATGCTAAGTATGGACGACTTGGACATTGCGTGATGGAGATGCTGTCTGACGTGAACGCGGTGGATACAGATGAAGAAGCAAAGTCACTTTCTTCTTGCGCTGCTTGAAAAAGGGTGAAACTCGCACGCTCGCTGACCTCACGACACTGTCCCGTCCAACATGTCTGAACCAAAGAAAACTGAAGAAGAAGAAAAGACTTTTGGGATTGTTTTAAAGAGACGTGCGATTGTTTCTCTCTCTATGAAGGCAAAGTGTTGTTGTAACCTGTTTGGAAGTTAATATATTTAAGTTTTGTCACTCTTGTTCACTGAAAAGCCTTGATGTCTGTTGTGTGCCTTCTACTGCACTCCACAATGTTTGCCTTATTGAGCCAACCTGTTACTACCTTCACAAAATCGTGGTATAGAATGACGTTTACTTTGGATTGGCTGCTGCTTGCACCAAAATGAAGAGCTATATAATAATATTTAAAGAACGTATACTGAATATTTTGAAGCTATTTGCAAAGATCTGCCTGGCATTGTAGATAATGTATGTGTATATATGTAATGTACATTTGTGGGCTTTTATATTTGTAATCACGTTTATGTAAATAAGTTTTATTTATTGAGATTCGTTTTGTTTACTGTTGTACATGAAGATATACCACACTGTGCCTGCAAGTTTTGTTCACTTTCTGGTTGCTTTTACAGAACTGTATTGCTTAATTACTGAGAATTCATTTCAGAAATATGTCTTTTATGCAGTTTATTTTTTGTTTTTTCAGATTGACGCTGCACACATTACCTTAGCACTATTCGCTCTGCTGTTTTAAATTGCATATTTTGTGGAAATAAAGAGATTTATTGCATTTGAGTATTTTATTTTATCAGTTTGACCTGTAGATCAATCATGGATAGTATTGTAGCGATGATGCTAGCAAGAGATGGGGTGAACTTTTAACTGGTTTATTTCACATCATAGACTTGAACGTGTTTGGTATGTGTAGAAAGTGCTGGCCTTTTTATATGAGAGGACGACATCGGGAAGTGCACCTACGAATGTCGTCACTGATGAAATATGAGTGAACGTGTGTGTGTACACCAATATAACATTTTTATTTAACCAGGAAAGTCCCATTGAGATTCTTTTTCATGGGAGTCCTGAACAAGATACAGCAAAAGTCACACATAAAACTACGAATTATAAAAACTGTTACATATCAATGAGGATGTCTCAAGTGCTCTCAATCTGGATTTAAAAGCATTCAATGAAAAAAGTTCAGATAATTTACAGTCTTTGCAAAAGGACCATGTAAGAGGAGTAGCATATTCAATATTCTTTATTCCCAATTCTGTGGGGCAAAAGGAACAGACCAACAAAAGATCATTTGAACGCTAACCATAAGAACCAACATCTCTGTGTGAATAAATCACAGTCATAAGAGGGCAGTAGACCAAGCATAGCCTGATAAACGCCTCTTCGATCTCATCCCACAATCATTTACTAATACACCTTCGTCATTTGTTTTTCCAACAGGGCATCTAGTTTTACTCATGCAAAGCAAACATTGCATACGACCAATTGTTATCACTACGCAGGATCCCATTTGTCAAAGTTGTGGCATGTTGTGGAGCAGGTGCAGACGCATTCCACCATTTGTCCCGCGCGTGGACCGGGAAGTGTGCACATCTTTTGTCCCTTTCAACATATGTGGATGTTTATTCTTCTCTGTGTAGTACGCTGTTATTATGAGCTACCCCCCATGAGGCAAGGGATGATGCTCTGAAGACTTGAGTGAGACACCAGACACCTGCTGCATCTCACCTCACATTTGCATCTGCACATGCGCCGCGCCCCATTGGCCAGGTGGCAGGCGAAAGGTGGAGCTTCGCATCACACCACTGCGACGTAGGCAAACAGGAGTGGCCTTTCCAAAGTGCCGATGGAGGTGATGGTTACAGGACAAATCCCCTTGGCAGGTTACCAAGCTACGATGAGGCGAAAACAATCGTCTGTTTGCAAATAACATGAGGACAGTCTGGAGACAGGTGTGGTGTCGCAGGCCCAGGGATGTAACAGAGCCTCCATATTGTGTCAAAGTATTTCTTTACATTTTATGGGGAAAAAAAACTTGTACCATACTCTAATAACTCTATCTGCTGGAAACCATACCAGAAACTCACACCTCAGCCCATCACCACATTTCACACTAATATCTGTTTCTCTGCCTGAAACAAAGAAAACCAGACGGGCATACTTGTAATTTATTATACGTATTAGAATGTCACAAATAGAAAAAAATGCGGTCAAAGTTATGTTCACAAACATGGTTAAATATTTCAAAAACATTTGTTTTTTATATGTTGGGTTTAAAAATTGAGTTTAGCTTGTGTATAATATATGTGGGTGTGTGCATGCTAAATTAGGTTAGAGTTTTTTTTTTTTTTGATTGTCTAATTAATACTGGTGAAACTCATAAAATGGGTTAGGGTTATACAATTTCTGTAATTCAACTGAAATGTGAAATCAATATCTAAACTCATCACATAAGAAGGGACAAACGCCCAGCCTTAGTTTGTTATAATGTTGATGATCATGGCTTACATTCCATCTTTCTCAGGTGTTTTATTTACTCAGCATTGTAACTAAAAACTTGATATATTTCCCTTTGCGTGTAATGAGTCATCTTTTATTTTCACATTATTAGTTTAATGACAGAAGTAATTGGACTATTGAACAATATTATTTAATATGAATCAATTTCCCCTGTAAGCATAAACTGTATAGATAGAAACCCTCACTTTTTACATTGAACTGTGTTAATCCTCCTTTACTTGTGATTGCGAGTTTATTATCCATATACTTGGCTAACAATGGTTTCTACAGGTGAAGGGTATTTGATCATGTGCATGAGCTTAATGGATTAAAGACACCAAAGCATGTGGTCAGTGACTTGAAGGAACATGTGTAGGACAAAGGACATAGCCATCTAAAAAGATCCAGTGTATTGTTTTGTTTTTTTTAATGGGAAAAATAATGTCAAGCGGATGCACATTCTACCAAGATTAGATAAGAAAAGACAAAGGTTCAAGAGCAAGGGCAATAATAGTCACAAACTAATGATGGTATGACAGCTTTAGCCGGCAGAGCTTGGTGTTCTGTACAGAAAGCTGGACATGACAAATGAAGATAAAGGGAGTGCTCACATTATGGGGAGTAAATAAGTAAACACACGACCAGATAATCTGTTTGAGAAATACTATTTTTGGGTAACTGCATAAGAATACACTACTCAACCTGGAAACACAAAGGCTTTATCCATGTTTCAATAGAGGACTTTTATTTCAGTAAAAGTATTTTGAGTGCACTGTTCCACTGAGTTTTTAACCTGCAAGTCAGTCTTATCTCTCTATGTTCTATGGCCTAGTCTTTGAAGAGCACAGGATCTGTTTTACTTCTCTCTACTATATAGACATTATATTTTTATATAAAAACATATTATATTATCTCCTGATGCACTCACTTTCACCTCTGTAAAAGTACACTACTCTTGGTGGTTGTTGGAATGCATCCTTGTTGCGGGTATGTTGTTTTATGTGGGTTTTTATTTTTATTTTGTAAAAAAATAAATAAATAATAATTCAAATATGCATGAAAGCATTCTAAGTTAGCCTGGTCGTACCACAGCATGCAGGGAAATGATGATTGACTGGAGTGTACGGATGGCTAAGGCCAGGCTAATTCTAAGTATTCCGAATATAGTACTTTGATTGAACCATAATATAATGCTGCTCATGGCTGACGTTATGGCACAGTATTGCACAACCAGAATAAACTATACCATCTACTAATGTGAATGTGCTTCCTGGACTCTGTGGTGGAGGTGAGGGACAGGAGGGTGCTGGTCAAAGCCACCTCCATCATGAACAACACCTCCCACTGCACAGGACTGTAGAGGAGCTGAGGAGCTCCTCTACAGTCTCAGTGTCTCAGTGCAAGAAGGAGTGCTACCGCAGGGCCTTTTTCCCCACCACTGTCAGACTGTACAATAAGTCACTAATGCACTAGGACTGATAAAATCTGCACTGATTTTGCCACTTTTTTGTATATAATTATATCCTGACATGTACTTTTCTCCAGTGTGAGATCGATAAAGTCTATCTCACTATCTTATCTCATCTTGCAAGTGAATAGCGTGAACCAAGTCTGACAAGTTTTCCTTTATGTTCATAAAGCACTAAGAACACTGGGGACAGCTTTTATACATAACAAAGACAATACAACTGAAGAGTCCTGTAAACGTTGAGGGGGAAGAAACAACAACAACAACATGCTGCCTTTAAGTTACACTTATATTTGTAAGAAAACCCCTCTGAGTCACTATTTTACTCTTTGGGCTGAGAGCTGCTTGACTGAGTTAGGATGGTCTTCTCTTTTTCACTTTTCTGTCTGAAAAAGCGGATCTAAAAATGCCATAAAGTACATGCAAATGCAAACTAGTGACAGAACCAAGATCAATGTTTTGAGTTTGTGGTTTGTGGTAAGCCCAGCTCTTCAATCGTGTGGAAATTGAAGCCGGACCAGCCAGACCAAGTGACCATTTTCCATGTCATGTCTTTGTCTGTGCTGCCCCCTGGTGTCAGAGATGGGTATCACATCTCGCGCTCAGGTGTCCTCTGTCAATGGTTCACCTGGCCGTCATGACGTCATCACAGCTTCAGGAAAAGACGCCCTGGACCCTGCACGGTCACCTTTCACTCGCAAACTCACAAATACGGAATAGTTTAAAATATATGGTGTCGGCATAACTGACTAAAGGTGACTTGATCAACTTCTAAACCTGAAGAGTCTGAAGAGCAAACACGATGTCCGCCTCAGCTGTGTTTGTGTTGGATCTAAAGGGGAAGGTACGTCAACCTGTTGCATTGTACTAAACGCCGTCCGAAGAAACTCTTTTTGCTTTAGAAACTGATCATGTGGAACCGAGGTGAAGTTGGCCGAACGTTTGATATTCGCCTGATATTCGCAAGGGACCGTCTGCAAATTGCAAG